TGCTTGTCCGGATCGCTGGAGCTGCTTCCACTTGAAAAGGGGCCAGAAACCGACAATTTCAAGGCGCTTATTGAAGTGGAACAGTAATTTTTGAGAAAAAAGGAAACCTTTCAGTCGCATCCCACATTTTTCTATCTTGGCAACATTTCTGACATTTACGTGACTCGATTTGCGCCACTCTATCCGCCGTACATTAACTTTTCGGCCCTGCACGTTTTTATGGCGGGCATTCTTATTTATGCAACTCATGCTTTGGGGCAGGTACAGAAATCTCGGGTTTAAAAACGAAAAACTTTGGAAAAAACTTTCAAAATTACACTTCTACATATGCAGGGTGCGGCGAAAGTTCTGTCCCTTTTTAGAATTCTCTCTGAAAGCTTCCTGGTTGACTTTATTTGATAAGTGTTTATAACCAAAAGATAGTCAATCTTTTACAGAATTTAAATCTTATTACCGTTTTTACATAGCTTCTTTAGACTTTGAGTTATCGCTATTCTATGCTCTTCGAAAAAAGCAAATATTTTTGAGCTTTTCCATTGCAAAAATTTCGATAAAAATTACAAACTTATTGAAAACTGTTGTTGTATTTTTAGTTTGGAACTGATAAACAATTTTTTGAATACTTCTAATCGTCTGCGTTCTAAGTTTGAAAGGTTTTCTTATATTGGTAATACTAATAACTGGTTCGAATAAGCTCACGCAAATTGTGATAACTCAAAATTTAAAGAAGCTACTTAAAAAAGGTAATAAGATTTAAATTCTGTGGAAAATTGGCGATCTAATTGGCTATAAACACTTATGAAATAAAAACAATCAGAGAGAATTTAAAAATGACAGAACTTTCGCCGTACCCTGTAACTGAAGCTTGATCGATCGTCCTTCAACTTCGACTTCAATTGTCGAAGTAATTTCTTCAAACCTATAAATCTTTTATCTTTTAAGCAGCGCGAGAAGTTTGCTCAATAATAACAGAAATCTTTTTATGCTCTAGTATAGGTTTGCATAATTTTGTTGACAAGTGTTATTGTGGTAGGTGTGTGTAATCTAGAGTTCAAACAAATATCAATGTCGTTATCGTTTTCTTCAATGTTCAATGTCTCCCTCAGTGTCGTCTTCAACTGTGATTCCGGCTCTACGAAAGCAAATTGCGATGGTTTCTTGTTTAACGCTCTTCCAAGCAAGGTTTACAGTGTGTAGAGTAGAGTGTGTTCCTCGCGAGTAATGCGTTTTTTAAAACGCACACTTGGGAGAAAACTACCGTACTTTTAGCAAAAATTATTGCAAAAAAATGACGAGCCCCGCATTATATACGACACTTTTTAACGATACTCAGCCGTTTAACTGATTTGGTGGGAAATTCCCTTTCAACGTAAAGATATTGAATTTGCTTTTATATTTGTTTCGCGCATGCGCATTTTTTAGAAAACGCATTACTCGACAATGACTCGAGCTATTACTCGAGTAAAAAATTACTCATGCAAATTTACTCGAGCAATTACTTACTCGCGAGGAACACACTCTAGTGTAATCAGTGCCGAGCTCACGCGCACCGACTAAATCGTCAGTTCAGTTCAGTTTTGATCGAGTTTACAACCAAATATTGTATTTCGAGAATATGTGGCATGCATTTTTGCATTAATTTTCCATTTAGACATTCATCATTTTTGTTTGGTGTAATCGCGTGATCGTGGACGGCGAGAAAAAGATGAGTGAACGAACGAAACAAATGCAGAGGAAATTTTTTGCCGCATTGAGCGTTTTGGTGAGTGAACTTTTTCCAGCTTCTTTTGTAAATGCCAATCAGACCAAAAACATTTTAATTGTCAAAAAAGCAGAGCGAAAAATGATTAATAAAAAGGAACAAGAAACTCTGACTTTGAGAGCTTCTGAGGCGCTCAGAAAAGTCAACAGATTTTTCCTTTGGACTTTCGAAAAGATTTGTTTTCTTTTCGAAAAGATTTGTTTTCTTTTCAAAAAGAAAATTGAAAACTGCCGGACTTTGAACTAACATTTATTCAACATAAAACCATAAATTCATTCTAAATAATTTCATTATTATTGACGGCTTCTGCCCATTTTACAGGCAATTTGCGGATTCCTCTTTCGTAGTAGGAGTTTAGTTTGTGTGTGAGACAAGTGTGAGACTCAAAAATGGAGGACTGGAGTCACAGTTTGTCACATATGTCCCAGTTTGAGCACTTTCTTCAAAAGAAACCCATTTTGGTGTCAATAGAAAAGTTGTGGCGAATCAAAAATTAGGCTTATAGCCAAATTTCCAAGAAGATACACTTAGTAGTTTCGCTTAAAATGCAAGTTTTGTGAAAATTCGTAAATTTGGCACTTCTTGAAAACCAGTTTTTGAATCGTTCTGAAAATTTGGATATAAGCTTGATTTTTGATTCTCTACAACTTTTCCATTGACACCAAAATGGGTTTCTTTTAAAGAAAGTGCTCAAACTGTGACATATGCCAATAGCCGGCAGTTTTCAATTAACCAATCCAATACAATCCACCGCTTAGGTATCAAAAAATAGCCCTGAATTTCAGCTATTTTTTGATACCAAAGACGCATTTTTTGAAAGTACGGGCGCTTTCAAAAAAAAGAAATACGAAAAAACTTTTGCGACTACGCGACTGTACGAGGGGGTACTATTACAGTATTTACGGTATGTTCAACGTTTTGCAAAGTTTCACTTTAAATTATTGAAGTTGATTGAAAATAGAAACAAAAAAGCTAACTTTTTCCAGATCATTGTCCCAACGACCCTTCTCGGCCTTCCCTGGATCTATTACGCGATCATTACTCTCATGCAATTAGACGTTATCTATCAAGGTAAAAAGGATCAATAATTTAATTGAGTGACAATTTAAAAGCGAATTTTTCCATCAAACTTTTTCAGAAGTAAACAACTTCTTTTTTGCTCTTTTGTCTTCTCACGGTTTATTTGGATCGAGTGCTCTTTTGAGCTTGTATGATCCATATCGACGGCACATTCTTCAATTGATTAGACGAATTCCGTTGCTAAAACAGTTGACAAAGCTGTGCTTCAAAGAAACAACTCCATTCATCGTCAGTCGCCCGATCACTCTCTCGTATCAAGGATCAAAAGTTTAAAGGGTGGAAGTGACCGGTAGGACCGGATCTCCTCAAAAACATTTTTACCAGAAACGTCTATAGTTTTGTATTTATATTATCAAAAATAGTCTAAAAACACCAAAGTCGATCCGGCTGGCGGTCTGGAACCAAAAATTAATCAAAAATTTTATATGGACTTATGAAGTTGGTGGTTTTATAGTTTTGAGATGCTTTTATGGAGGAGAACTTGAATACTCTTATTTTACATTACTAAAGAAGCATTGAATAAAATAGCATTAAAACAATAGAAAAGCAGAACAATCAAAGAATCACATATCAAACTAAAAAGTGGGGCACAGGCACCCCGGCTGCGGATCTCCCTCCCTCGATCCTCTGGATCCAGGGCTATTTGAGCCCGGGTCTCTCTGTGTTCTAGCTTCTCTATTTCTCTGATTTTAATACTACAGTCAGTTATCCATGCTTTGCAAAGAACCTCTTTTTCCTATTCCTTACAATGGCACATTTGCCCATAGACCGGACCCAGCTTTTGAGACTCAAATGAAAAGCGTTCGTTCCTCATGTAAAATAAACCAATCGATTTACTGTTTTGACAATTATTTAGAAAAATAACTGGGCACAATAAACGACGCAAAAATAGACAAATTTTAATTTTTGATTCCAGACTCCAAGCCAAGACTTTGGTGTTTTTGGACTATTTTTAATAATATAAAAACAAAACTATAAGGTTTTCCGGAAAAAAAGAAAGTTTTTGAGGAGATCCGGCTTTACAGTCACCCCCTCCCCCTTTAAGGCAAATGAATTTATGGATGTTTTCCTTGTAACAAACAAAAATCACAAAGCAAACGCTGAAAATTCCAGAAAAGACAACTTCTATAGGGTTAATGCACATGAAATGTCAGTATTCTTTCAAGAGGCACTTTTCAACCCAATTTAATAGTAAACTCTAAGGGTTTGAAAGATAAAAAAACCTTATCTTTTCTCTACAAAACATCTTTTGAGGCAGACGGGAAAGCTTTTGTTTTCACACTTTTTCAAATGATCGAACTTAAGCAGAGAAAAATGGGCTAATTTAACGATTTCCATCCAACAAACCTACTTTGGTGTTCAAATAAAAAACGTAGAGAATATTTAATTACGTTTACACTCAAATTTTCAAATCAATTTGTCCAGTCGTTTTCTCTGAATGACGTTTTGTCGGTTTTTAACAAAATATGGGGTTTCTCGCGTATGATCCTGCTTTTCATTATGGGCTGCAGACGAATCTGTAGATGTATATATAAAGCTGTTATGGCACTTCGAGCTCGCAACAAGGATAAGAAATAGTTGACTATTGAAAAATGTCTTCCATAGCGTGTCGTTGGTCCTAAATAAGATTGTGAGTATTTTAACTGTGAACTAGTTTCCTTTTGCTGTATTTTTAATGAACAAAACTTAAACTTACTTACAAACAAACAAACTTACAGAACAAAATAATCAAAAGTAAAAGATTCTGCGGTTTTTTTCCGTGGAAAGTTAGACTACGCGGCAATACCCAGTCATTATAGGGGAGGCGTTACATTACAGCTATTAGCTACTATTACAGGTATTACGATAGGTATTTTTGTCATAAAACTGTAGAGCGACTCGTGTGAAACTATTTACGAGTTTACAAGTATTTACTAGGTGAAAAACTTAAAAACGTATTGTTTCTTTGTAATATTTCATTAAATCAAATCGATCTGACTAGATTTAGCCGTATTTCGGAGTTTCAGAGAAAAGAGAAGCGTGTTTGGCTCCACGTGTCGCAAAAAAGCGTTTCGCTTTTTGACTGTTCACTTTGTGAGTCACCTAGGAGATAAAAAAAGCGTTCGTCAAGTCAAAAACTCACTCAAAAGCTCACTCTTCAACTAAAATTTTTCGAAATATGCTTTTCAATTCAACTAAAAGAAAATTTCAATATTCTGTGCTACCATTGGAGCTGAAATTTGCCGTTTTCGATCACGTCAACTGGGACGAGTCGCTGAATTGTATGAAGGTCAGCAAACAAATACGCAAGATCTCTCTCTCGAGTGGGCCTTTCACGAAAAATCTACAAGAAATTTCTCTTAAACGTCTTGATTCAATCACCGAGCAATATTTGCTTCGAATTACGTCGAAAAATCGTGAAACCGAGCTCGCTCTTGATGGATGGGAACTCGTTTGGCAAAGATGGGCCTTCGTTCGACGCATTCGATGTAAAGCCCTTTCATTTGACTTTCGAAATTGTAAAGAATTCGAGAATTTGGATTTTCTCTCAAAAATCCTTTCATCAAATTTCTATTTGGAAAAGTTTTATTTGAATTCAAATTTTCGAGCGTTGAAAACGGTTTTTGAACAAATCCATCCAGCGATTCTCGATCTCTGCGAGCTGAGCATTAGTGATGAAAGCGAGGAAAAGAGCGAGTATCTTTCCGAATTGATAAGCTCAAATACTTTGAAAGATTGTCGCCAATTTCACGTGATAACTTTTGATAAAAGTTTATTCCATTCATTTGCGCATTCCAATGCTCAAATTTTGACGGTGAATGCGAAAAAGTGGGACGACTTTGAGCGCTCTGTAGAGGTTTTTCTGGAAATGGAGACTCTAACAAGAAATCCTGATGCAGTGGTGAAAATTGAAATCGAAGCATTTCCTTTTCAAAATCAATCCGCTGAAACATTTCTAGCTTTTCTGGAAAGAAATTTCCTCCAAAACACCGGATTTCGAAGAATAGATGGCAAAAGCTTGCAAATCGAAGAGCTTTTTATGATTGAAAACACAGATAAACAAAAGCAATCTTCAGATGTGACAAAAGAGACAAAAACTTTCTATTCGACTCAAATCGACGATGAAAAACGGCGCTTTTTGATGTTCAAAGTGGAAGAAGTTGGGAAGAATCCGTTGAAAAGTGTTCGAATTTCGTGTTGTTTGAGAGATCTCTATCAAAATGTATTTAAAACTAAAGATTTGACTCGCAAAGATTTGAAAGCTGACTTCAATATCCTCCAATATCCTTTTCATCTTTGGCATTTCCTTTTCTTTTCAATTTTATTTTGTTTTCTCGTTTACTGTTTATTCTTTGATCAAATATGGCTTTTCGATGTCTTTTATTTTACTAACTTTAGCTTTTTCTGATTCTTATTGAATAAATTAAACAATGCTATTTTGCTAAAAAAACGAAAATCGATAGATTATTGAATCTCAGTCCTACCAAGCAAAAAAAGCTCAATTTTTAAAGCTATGAGCTCATGCTTCTTCAATTTTCTTCTGTCTTTTTGGATTTTCGCTTTTTTTAAAGTCAAAACTTTGTGTAAAAGCTTTTAATTCGTAAACAATTAAAACGAAAACTAACATCTTACAAGTCTTATAAACAAAAGCTCAAAGTTAAGTTATTATTTTTTCATAAAGCTAAAGTAGTAGCACTCAAAGTAAACAAAGAGCAAGGGGTACTCATTGATTTTTTCCAATTTTCTGAATTAGCATACAAATGTTTGATGTTGATTACCAGGCCCGTTTTTAAGGCAACGATTTGACTTTCATGGGGCAAATCGAAGAGACACAGACACATCACATTATTCCACATACTATTTCATATTATTCCACAAATAGCGTGTGGAATAAAATGAAATTAAGTGTAAAAATGGTTTGTTGCTTTCAATTTTAAATTTTTACATGAATTTTAAAAATAAAAATTGAGAGAACGGGCCGTGTAATCAGTATGAGGCACCAACTTAATTGGCATAAAAATGGGCCTTGTAATTAATAAGTACCGAGCAAGGGCTTCTTCATCTAATCTTCATCTTCATAGCGAAACACGGATTTTACGGGCGTAGAAATTCTTTACTATTCCAACTGGTGGTTCTTAGCCGATTCATCACAGAAAGGGCTCATATTTTAACGTTAATATCTCTCATGTGTCCATTATATAATTGCAAAAAATGAAAGAAATGTGTCTTTAACGGATCCGACCGGGTTTTTTTCAATACCAATTCAATATTTTTTTTTCAAAGTTTGTGTATAACTCTTTTCCAATAAGAACTGCCAGAATTTGGAATCGACTCCCCAGAGTTTTGAGAGAGTCCAATAGTATCGAGACCTTTAAATTATATGTGGATGATCTTGATCATGGTGTTCTTGATGATCTTGAAGCTCTAGTGGATCCTTGACGTTATCTGTGCTACCCATATATTACATATATTATATCGTGTTGCTTTTTATCGGCCCTTTTCGTGTTATGTGGATGAATTCATGTGTATTAATCTTAAATCTAGCGCACTTTATCTCAGGTCCTGGATAAAGGGCTTTTTAGTTATGCTCATTCTCGTAATTTTCCAGAAAAAATTACGAGAACTGCGCCGCCGATCAGTCCCCGTTTCATCCTAGAAATGTTTCATTTTGAATAACCGGAGGATACAACAAAGTAGCTCAAATTTAACATTAAGGTTCATTCTTTCATGGTTTCAAAAGACTTTTGTAAAAGACCTAAAAGAACAAATGCGACCTTTTTTTTGCTGGAAAAGGCCTTAGGAAAGGCCGTAGAGCTTTGCTCTGCAGGTGGCCGCTATGGTGTCAAAAGCGTTTATTTGTGCTCAGCAATTTTTCACCATATTTTGATATCCTGTACATTAGATTATGGGTGCCTCCATGGTCACCACCACCATGAGACTTGCCATAAAATTAAAACTTTGTACTGACATCGTCGTGTCATATTAAAGTTAATATATAAACTACTATTGTACTAGTATTGTAAGTATTGTACATTTTCTCGACAGCCCGACAGCCTAGGCTAAGTCTGAGCCTTTCTCAACACTAATTAGCGCAATAATTAGGGATTTTCTGCATTTTTGGGGTCCTAATCAAGAATAAGTAGAAATAGTCTTTTGCCAATGGGTAAAAAACTTTGTTGCCAATGGCCAAACATTTTTGCTTTTTCTTCTCTTTCTTTCATTTTCAAAGGAAACAGCAAGGTTTTTAAACGCGTCTTAGTAACTTGGAATTGAAATTTTTCTTGATCATTATTATTATGTTTGATTAACTATCTAGCGATTCTTTAGAATTTTGTTTAGATACCTTTAATTCTCATTGTATACTTAATTTTGTGAAATCTAATTGCTTTTTATTTACAGGTAGAATGGTGCGAAACTTTGAAAAGTTTGAAATGCGAAATCTGATGTCATTCCCAATGGAGAAATTATGCTACGACCTAAAGTTGGAGATGTTCGAGCATATGAAGCCGAATGATATCATTGAGTTGGTCAAGGTGAATTCAGGATTTCGATCGATCCTGCTGCGGAAGCCCTGGATAGTTTTTGGGCATCACGTGCGCAATATTACCTGGCGTAAAGAAATTGAAATCTGGAAATTCCTGGACAGATACCCTTGGGATCGACGACATTTTTTCCGCTTTGATGCAGATCTCCACTTTCCCTTGATCAAACGAATCTACTCTTGTAATGAGCTGAGAATAGGTTTGGACCACAAACAACTCGAGTACCTGATGCTTTTGAATCAGCTCCGCTCTATAAAAGGTTTGATCACCTATGGTGAACGTGGAGAGCATTTGTTGAAGTTTCTTGAGAATTTTCGCACGAGGATTGAAGAATACGCGGCGCTTAACATGGAAATTGATTTCCTCAACGAAAATCAAATGCTCCGTGAGCCTTTCAGGAATTTCATTGTAAATAAGTTGAATGACTGTAAAGCGGTCCAGTTTGACGACATTCCGGGACATTCTGGAGATTTGTTCCACCTATACTACGATGCCTTTGTCAAAACTTCAATCGAATTCTTAGAAATGTCAGCAAAAACGACTCGCTTTGAAGAGATCGTGCAATCAATCGTTAAAAAGGGGATCCCAACCAAGAACGTTAAAGCGGTTTTTTATGTTCATACCACATACTCTCAGGAGTTGGGTGCTCGAATTTTTGATTTTCTTTCGCATTTCCCTGGAATGAAGCATTTGGACGTAGAAAATCAGCGAGAAGTTTGCAAAATGGCGAGTGAACTCTTCGATAAGCGTAACAGGTTCTTGCCAGCCTATATTTCCGGGGACACATATTTTACGGAAGGTCCTGCTTTTCGACGAAACATTGATCCGAGCAGGGACTGTGTCTATATCCTTGACCGTGGCTACGACACTATTACGGCCTTTTTTGCTTTCTATCTGTCTTCTTGCGATTTTTAGCTCTCTGTGAAATAAATTTGTATTTTTTTTTGTATTTGTAAATTTGTATTTTTAAAAACCGCGTTGTGAAATAAATTTGTATTCGATTTTTCTTTTTGGGCAATGATTTGTTGTGTCAAAAACACATGGCAATAACTTTTTGATTCATTGATTGTAAAAACCTTATGTTTCCACTACATAAATCGATTCGGTTAGGCATTGCAGCTACATAATATACGATTCATGTCACTTGGATGTCATTTAGATCTCGAGCAGCAGTTCCGGTACCAGGCGACGAGTCGGTAACTTTTTCAGAACTTTAATTTAACAGCCACTTATTTTTAGCTCGATTGCAAGCAATAATGTGCGGGTTTTAGAACCTTTCCGAGTGTTCAGCAATTACTACGCTCCGGATAAACGCAAGAATCTCACATATAAGGTATATAACGAAAATCAACAGTTAATAGTTGGTCCTCAGGTTTTGAAATCGGCTGTCATCGCAATTGCTGCCAGAATCAACAATCAATCTAGTGGTGAATTAGGCTTCCAAGACATTGAAACGTTGTCTTAGGATCGAAATACCGTAAGTACCGCCGGCCATCAGCAAGGAGAAGTGGTGTTTGGTGGGATGGTGAGACTGTAAGATGACAGGACAACGAATGTTTTTCTTTAGTTGATGCAATCTGGTTTATTGACTATCCGGCCTCCATCTACGTTCGTCCGCTGACCCGTTCGTCTCCCATTGATGGAACTTTTGTTTGTCCTTATTTTCTTGATCACATTTATTTCTTTTTCAGTTGTTGGCAAACACAGAAATTTACAGAAATTGTTTTGTTGTTATGTTTTTTGGATAAATTTTTTCGCAGAAAATTTTCTGAAAAAAAACTGAGTTTATTGGCACCGATGCCTTTATTCGAAAAACTAAGCGCCGCACCTAGGAGCCACTCGAAAAATAAGCGCCGCGGCGCCTTTTGGGGCAGATTCGGTGATAATGTTAGAACGTCCAGAAAAGCCAGAGCGTTAGAACAAAAAAATTTAGAATTCGAGAAATTCATTAGTAGGTGTTATAGGGCTTCGTAGGTCACATTTTGCACAACATCACAATTGAATTAGTTGTCTCTTCGTGTGTGAAAGGGCACTGAATGTTTTTATTCAAAAAAGCATTTACTTACATACTCGTCTATGGGTGTCCATAAGTAGATACGTTGAAACGGATAAGAAAAGATAGCTGCTAAACGGGAGAATCGAGAGTGAATTTGCCTTTCCTTCTTTTCAAACAAATAAACTTGGTTTTAAATTGAACCCTTTCAACGAAAAGCTTGAGCAATTTGATTTTTAGAACTAAAAAGTCAGGTCTACCAAACGGGCCAGTTTCCGAGATAGAAATTCCACATTGCCGAATTGGAAAACTGTCTAAAGATCCTGTTTGAAACTATTTTGCCACCAAGGTTTAACTATCAAAAATCGGATCATTCAAGCCGTCTCCTCGGCTCGGTCGTTTTCATTCATCGACAAGAGCTCATCACCAATCTCTACATGGGATTTCTTGGGCTAATCTTCTCCTCATATTTCGTGTATCTGGTCGAAAAAGGTTTGGTTACATTCAAGCTCCAGGGCTGTTCGAAAAAAACAAAAATCAGCTTTACAGAAACGGATGCCAAGATCTTCTTGGCTTCTATATAGAGATCTTTGCAATCACCCCTAAAAATTAAATTATTTTAACATAACAATCATCAGAACTTACAAAACATCGTTGATGCACAAAAGTGTCGCCAAAAGGCTCCAAAAACCAATTGCGTCAAAAAGCTGAAAGTAAAAGCAAAATTTTTCGAATGAACACAAAAACCCACTTCGTAAAAGCGAACACGAGCCGTCAAGTAATTTTCACAAACGGCCCAGAGCAACAAAACGAGAGAGATGACGCTGGCACAAAAGTTAAGTACCTACGTTAAACTTTTAAAAGTACACCGTTTCATCGGCATCGGAGAGGCGATAGTAAAGTTTTCCAAAACACCTAAAGTTATGAACTTAAATATGTTTTGGAAGCACCAACAAGCTAAATTGTGGTTGAAACAAAGAGGGGCCTTTCAAAAGTTATTTGCATAATTTTTCCATTTAGAAATCGAGATCTCGGATAACAAGATGGTGGTGTATCCTCGTAATGGTCGAGCAGAGGATTTGGTTCGATTTGAAACCCGCTTCCTTTTGATGAAGGTAAAATTTATTGAAATTGATTTGCCATGAATTAGATGAGTAAGTGTGGCAGTGTTTTTTCAAATTGTAGTTGAAAGAATGTAAATAATCCCGACTGTTCGGTGACTCGAAAAGCAAGACAAAAGAGTTAATGCGTTTACAGATTTTTGTAAAGATGTGCCTGAGTTTTTGAAATTTTTTTTAGACTGCATTGTGGGTACTTTTTGTCTTTAATCTGCCTAGTCTGTTCATCGTGATCTCCCTCAAAAATCATTGTGCCGATGAAACGGTGTACTTTTAAAAGTTTAACGTAGGTACTTAACTTTTGTGCCAGCGTCATCTCTCTCGTTTTGTTGCTCTGGGCCGTTTGTGAAAATTACTTGACGGCTCGTGTTCGCTTTTACGAAGTGGGTTTTTGTGTTCATTCGAAAAATTTTGCTTTTACTTTCAGCTTTTTGACGCAATTGGTTTTTGGAGCCTTTTGGCGACACTTTTGTGCATCAACGATGTTTTGTAAGTTCTGATGATTGTTATGTTAAAATAATTTAATTTTTAGGGGTGATTGCAAAGATCTCTATATAGAAGCCAAGAAGATCTTGGCATCCGTTTCTGTAAAGCTGATTTTTGTTTTTTTTTTGAGATACGGTCTTGGTTCTGGCTCTCTACGTTGCTTTTGCAAATCTCATCCTATGGTTGATCTGGTCTTTTGGAAGCTACTTGAAGTTTGTTTTCAACTGTCTTTCTAATCATGCTTACTTTAGGGCCAAAGCTGACGATTACGGGCAAATGAGGGGATTTGGCTATCCATGCAATGACGTGAGTTTCATGAAATTTTTTTGTTTAGTTTTTGATTCTGTTTAGAAAGTTAATGCCTTGATGGAGTCTTTGACACCCGGGTCTCCTTCATCTCCGTTTACCTGCAAAGCTCCGCCGCCTCATGATTTCGTCACTGCGCCGCCACCAGTCCGTTCAGCGACTTCGGCACCAGTTAATACGTTTATTAAATGTTTGTAGTGCCTGTGTTTGGTTTGCATCACAATTTACAATGTTTTGATGCTATCATTATTGCCGCTATGTACAATAAACGTTCAATTCAGTGGCGTATGTTATGCAAATGGTTTAATATTTGAGTTATTAGATTATATTTTCTAGCTGACTGTTTGATGCATAGACCACCAGTTATTCCGTTTATTAAATGTTTGTAGTGCCTGTGTTTGGTTTGCATCACAATTTTGATGCTATCGTTATTGCCGCCATGTACAATAAACGTTCAATTCAGTGGCGTATGTTATGAAAATGGTTTAATATTTGAATTATTAGATTATATTTTCTAGCTGACTCTTTGATGCATAGCCATGGTACTTTGTATATTCGCAATTTTAGGATGCCGACAAGCAACAGCTGCGACTGGAGGTGAATCGCGCCAGCGACATTCGGTATTCCGGTGATGTCAAACGCAAGGAGAAAATCAACGCTTATCTCAATCAAAAGGGTTGGTTCCTTTTCCTGATAGACTATAACGTATAAATAAGTAATCACAATTTTGTTATCTGCTTTAGTTGAGCCGCTCATTGAGCAAGCCATCCATGCCAAGACGAACAATGATAAGCAAATCGCCAAGGCGTTGGATACACGATGTGTCGACATTGTTCTTACGCTTGGACAAACGCAATGCACAATTCGGATCAACAAAAAGGTTAACTTCTAGTATAACCAGCTCGATGATTCAAGTGTTGCAATGGTTGTTATGTGCTTTATTTTTAGAGACGAAGGGGGACTCGGAGACGAGACCGTTGTGATTTGGGCAAGCGTTTCTTGAAAATCAGTTTTTGAATCGTTCTGAAAATTTGGATATAAATTTGGATATAAGGTCATGTGGCGTTCTCTTCTTTGCTGCGTTGGTTCTTCTCGAGGTTTGTTAGCTTTTTTGCTTTAATTTTGTTACTTCTTTTTGCGACCATTCTTTGGAAATTCTTGGAAGCTTTTTAGAAGTTCTTAAGTATCTTGGAAAAGATCGAATCAAAAATTAAGCTTATATCCAAATTTTCAGAACGATTCAAAAACTGATTTTCAAGAAATGCCAAATTTACGAATTTTCACAAAACTTGCATTTTAAGCGAAACTACTAAGTGAATCTTTTTGGAAATTTGGCTGTAAGCCTAATTTTTGATTCTCTACAACTTTTCTATTGACACCAAAATGGGTTTCTTTTGAAGAAAGTGCTCAAACTGGGACATCTCCAGTCCTCCATTTTTGAGTTTTTGAGAAAATACGATATTTTATACTCGTTTTCCTCCACTTCATAGTCGCAATTGTCGGCCGGGCTAGGGTCAGGAACAAGTCCAGAATTAGGCCAGGTTAAGCCAGGAACAGGGACATGATTCGGCCAGGCTAAGCCACGACAAGGATGGGCTGCACTACTATTAGAGAAAATACGGTAACCACGTGTGGTTGAACTGCATCCTAGTTCATCTCGACGGGGCTTAATGGAAAATGCAGGAGCAGAGGTGGCAAAAGGATCCCTCATCCCAAATTTCTGATGAAGCAGTCAAAGTTCAAAAGCGCATAATGACTCCATGTCTTTTTGTTGGGTAAATTTCTTGGGCATACTGTAACCAATCATACTAAGAGACTGAGACAAGAGATTTAAAAGCTATAGCTTTGCCCTAGAAAACTACCGTAATCTGTCTCGTATAACCGACTGTTATCGAAGACCAGAGTTGATCTGGACTACTTAGTTATCAGCAAATAGGCGATTTGCTTTTGCCAAATATTTCTATTATCTATTACATTTTCTCCCATTCGTCGATGACTGGATAATCGCCATTAATGGCAAAAGGAGAGACATCCAGGGCCATGCACGATTCCTAGAATTGTTTCAATTTTTCTATCCTTTTACAGAAAACGTACCAAGTTCTGTATGGGACAGCGAAGGCCGATGTCGACGGTGATTCTACATTCAGGTGATGAAGTGCAGTAGCTTGAAACACAGATCGGCGAAACTTCAACTAAACATTAGATGATGAAACTTATTTACTTTTCATTTATGGAAGATAAAGAAGCTTCAATCTCCAATCCAAGCTCTAAAAAATCTAATCCAAAAAACCCGGTCAAGCTTCCTCAACTCCCAATGGGATCAAAATTCTATGAAGTGCCATTTATAAAATCGGTTCTTTTCTGCTAACAGAATGTGAATATAATAGGGGAAACATTTAAGCGTGTTGGGGAACCAACTTAGGCAAACTCAGGGATACCGCGCATGTAACAGGGAGTGCATAATATAGTTAGGATTTCCTAGGATCGGTGCGCCGCCTAATACATCTACGTTGCCTTCGGTAGGACTGCTTTCCTGTTTGAGGGAAAGCTTTTTGGCATGGCTAGGGTAGTCCTATAGGCACCGTAGATGGTATCTACGGTGGTATTTCTGGCCAAGGTATCTGGCCTGCTCTTGGCCTTGATTTGCTCAGGTTTTGGCTACCAAGAGTAGTATGTGTACTATTATAGATGTCGGGATACTTCATACATATACTATTACTATTGGCAAGACCCAAGGGTTCTTTAAACGAACGTTCTGCTTTGTCGACAGCCTCCGTCGACAGAATGGCTTGTGGCTCGTCTATTGTGAGGGTGAAATATTTTCCACATTCCAGCGTATCCTTGGGTCTTATCGGCTGCATTCCCATTTTGGCCACAAAAACGAACCAGTTGCTAGTCAGCGGTTTGTCGGGACAGAAGACCACCTAATTAGAAAAGATCATTTTGTCTCGTAAACGAGGACAAACTTGAACACATTCAAAAAAGAGCTCAAAGTATTGTATCGTGCTCACGGTGATGCTAAAAAAACTAATGCATGTCACTTAAGTAAACAGCGTATCCTGGATATTTACCTTGATTCAGAATTTTTTTAGCATCACCGTGAGCACGATACAATACTTTGAGCTCTTTTTTGAATGTGTTCAAGTTTGTCCTCGTTTACGAGACAAAATGATCTTTTCTAATTAGGTGGTCTTCTGTCCCGACAAACCGCTGACTAGCAACTGGTTCGTTTTTGTGGCCAAAATGGGAATGCAGCCGATAAGACCCAAGGATACGCTGGAATGTGGAAAATATTTCACCCTCACAATAGACGAGCCACAAGCCATTCTGTCGACGGAGGCTGTCGACAAAGCAGAACGTTCGTTTAAAGAACCCTTGGGTCTTGCCAATAGTAATAGTATATGTATGAAGTATCCCGACATCTATAATAGTACACATACTACTCTTGGTAGCCAAAACCTGAGCAAATCAAGGCCAAGAGCAGGCCAGATACCTTGGCCAGAAATACCACCGTAGATACCATCTACGGTGCCTATAGGACTACCCTAGCCATGCCAAAAAGCTTTCCCTCAAACAGGAAAGCAGTCCTACCGAAGGCAACGTAGATGTATTAGGCGGCGCACCGATCCTAGGAAATCCTAACTATATTATGCACTCCCTGTTACATGCGCGGTATCCCTGAGTTTGCCTAAGTTGGTTCCCCAACACGCTTAAATGTTTCCCCTATTATATTCACATTCTGTTAGCAGAAAAGAACCGATTTTATAAATGGCACTTCATAGAATTTTGATCCCATTGGGAGTTGAGGAAGCTTGACCGGGTTTTTTGGATTAGATTTTTTAGAGCTTGGATTGGAGATTGAAGCTTCTTTATCTTCCATAAATGAAAAAGTAAATAAGTTTCATCATCTAATGTTTAGTTGAAGTTTCGCCGATCTGTGTTTCAAGCTACTGCACTTCATCACCTGAATGTAGAATCACCGTCGACATCGGCCTTCGCTGTCCCATACAGAACTTGGTACGTTTTCTGTAAAAGGATAGAAAAATTGAAACAATTCTAGGAATCGTGCATGGCCCTGGATGTCTCTCCTTTTGCCATTAATGGCGATTATCCAGTCATCGACGAATGGGAGAAAATGTAATAGATAATAGAAATATTTGGCAAAAGCAAATCGCCTATTTGCTGATAACTAAGTAGTCCAGATCAACTCTGGTCTTCGATAACAGTCGGTTATACGAGACAGATTACGGTAGTTTTCTAGGGCAAAGCTATAGCTTTTAAATCTCTTGTCTCAGTCTCTTAGTATGATTGGTTACAGTATGCCCAAGAAATTTACCCAACAAAAAGACATGGAGTCATTATGCGCTTTTGAACTTTGACTGCTTCATCAGAAATTTGGGATGAGGGATCCTTTTGCCACCTCTGCTCCTGCATTTTCCATTAAGCCCCGTCGAGATGAACTAGGATGCAGTTCAACCACACGTGGTTACCGTATTTTCTCTAATAGTAGTGCAGCCCATCCTTGTCGTGGCTTAGCCTGGCCGAATCATGTCCCTGTTCCTGGCTTAACCTGGCCTAATTCTGGACTTGTTCCTGACCCTAGCCCGGCCGACAATTGCGACTATGAAGTGGAGGAAAACGAGTATAAAATATCGTATTTTCTCAAAAACTCAAAAATGGAGGACTGGAGATGTCCCAGTTTGAGCACTTTCTTCAAAAGAAACCCATTTTGGTGTCAATAGAAAAGTTGTAGAGAATCAAAAATTAGGCTTACAGCCAAATTTCCAAAAAGATTCACTTAGTAGTTTCGCTTAAAATGCAAGTTTTGTGAAAATTCGTAAATTTGGCATTTCTTGAAAATCAGTTTTTGAATCGTTCTGAAAATTTGGATATAAGCTTAATTTTTGATTCTCTACAACTTTTCCTTTGACAACAAAATGGGTTTTTTTTGAAGAAAGTGCTCAAACTGTGACATATGACAATAGCCCGCGGTTTTCAATTTAGGCCACGTTTTAGAATCGTTAAATCGAAATTTTTGATCTCGAGCGAATCGTTTAATCGAGAGTCGATTGTGCCTCGCGATTTTTCGGCAGCATAAATCGATAGTCACCGCTTGCGTCGGGGAACTTAGCTAGATGTGTGTCTGCATTGTAACTCAACGCCCAGAGCACCCAAAACTCGGTGTCTCTCGGTGAGATGACCGCTTACAGATTTCGGCTCTGATCGGGTGTTTCCGAGCTCAAGATAACAGCCAGGGTTGTGTCTGGAAAATAGTTATATTTATGGGTATATATTTTTTCTAGCTTCTAATTTACAGAAGTTCTGTTAAAGTTTTGCTAAAGTATGTGATCGTCTATGCCGAATTATCAGATGTTGGATAGCTCATGTGTAACAAAGGTACTGTTTTTAAAAAACCCACATCTTCGGATTGTCGCTGTGAAACTGGTCGATAAACAGCTTGAAGTTGATGCGTGGTTGCTTCCAATTTGCGATCAATCGAGTGCACCTGTAATTGGAATGCTGGAGGTGGGCGTTTTTTAACACAAATTATTTTGATCTTTGCTTTCGTACCTGTAACTCGACTCAATCGACTTTCACTTTGTTAAATTAGGACCCTTTCAATTTGGTTTTGGCTTTGGCTTGACTTTTTCGATTTTCCAATGCCAGTCAAAGCTGGCTATTTCCAATGCTGCTGGCTTGACTGGATCTGGTTTTTGATTTTTTCGAACAGCCCTGGGGCTTGAATGTAACCAAACCTTTTTCCAGATACACGAAATATGAGGAGAAGATTAGCCCAAGAAATCCGATGTAGCCGAGGAGACGGCTTGAATGATCCGATTTTTGATAGTTAAACCTTGGTGGCAAAATAGTTTCAAACAGGATCTTTAGACAGTTTTCCAATTCGGCAATGTGGAATTTCTATCTCGGAAACTGGCCCGTTTGGTAGACCTGACTTTTTAGTTTTAAAAATCCTTGCTCAAATTGCTCAAGCTTTTCGTTGAAAGGGTTCAATTTGAAACCAGTTTATTTGTTTGAAAAGAAGGAAAGGCAAATTCACTCTCGATTCTCCCGTTTAGCAGCTATCTTTTCTTATCCGTTTCAACGTATCTACTTATGGACACCCATAGACGAGTATGTAAGTAAATGCTTTTTTTGAATAAAAACATTCAGTTCCCTTTCACACACGAAGAGACAACTAATTCAATTGTGATGTTGTGCACAATGTGACCTACGAACCCCTATAACACCTACTAATGAATTTCTCGAATTCTAAATTCTTTGTTCTAACGCTCTGGCTTTTCTGGACGTTCTAACATTATCACCGAATCTGCCCCAAAAGGCGCCGCGGCGCTTATTTTTCGAGTGGCTCCTAGGTGCGGCGCTTAGTTTTTCGAATGCGCAAAAAGTTAAGCACAAGTATGCATCGGTGCCAATAAACTCAGTTTTTTTCAGAAAATTTTCTGCGAAAAAATTTATCCAAAAAACATAACAACAAAACAATTTCTGTAAATTTCTGTGTTTGCCAACAACTGAAAAAGAAATAAATGTGATCAAGAAAATAAGGACAAACAAAAGTTCCATCAATGGGAGACGAACGGCTCAGCGGACGAACGTAGATGGAGGCCGGATAGTCAATAAACCAGATTGCATCAACTAAAGAAAAACATTCGTTGTCCTGTCATCTTACAGTCTCACCATCCCACCAAACACCACTTCTCCTTGCTGATGGCCGGCGGTACTTACGGTATTTCGATCCTAAGACAACGTTTCAATGTCTTGGAAGCCTAATTCACCACTAGATTGATTGTTGATTCTGGCAGCAATTGCGATGACAGCCGATTTCAAAACCTGAGGACCAACTATTAACTGTTGATTTTCGTTATATACCTTATCTGTGAGATTCTTGCGTTTATCCGGAGCGTAGTAATTGCTGAACACTCGGAAAGGTTCTAAAACCCGCACATTATTGCTTGCAATCGAGCTAAAAATAAGTGGCTGTTAAATTAAATTTCTGAAAAAGTTACCGACTCATCGCCTGATACCGGAACTGCTGCTCGAGATCTAAATGACATCCAAGTGACATGAATCGTATATTATGTAGCTGCAATGCCTAACCGAATCGATTTATGTAGTGGAAACATAAGGTTTTCACAATCAAAGAATCAAAAAGTTATCGCCATGTGTTTTTGACACAACAAATCATCGCCCAAAAAGAAAAATCGAATACAAATTTATTTCACAAAGCGGTTTTTAAAAATACAAATTTACAAATACAAAAAAAATACAAATTTATTTCACAGCGAGCTAAAAATCGCAAGAAGACAGATAGAAAGCAAAAAAGGCCGTAAAAACGTCGTAGCCACGGTCAAGGATATAGACACAATCCCTGCTCGGATCAATGTTTCGTCGAAAAGCAGGACCTTCCGTAAAATTTGTGTCCCCGGACATATAGGCTAGATTACGCTTATCGAAGAGTTCACTCGCCATTTTGCAAACTTCTCGCTGATTTTCTACGTCCAAATGCTTCATTCCAGGGAAATGCGAAAGAAAATCAAAAATTCGAGCACCCAACTCCTGAGAGTATCTGGTATGAACATAAAAAACTGCTTTAACGTTCTTGGTTGGGATCCCCTTTTTAACGATTGATTGCACGATCTCTTCAAAGCGAGTCGTTTTTGCTGACATTTCTAAGAATTCGATTGAAGTTTTGACAAAGGCATCGTAGTATAGGTGGAACAAATCTCCAGAATGTCCCGGAATGTCGTCAAACTGGACCGCTTTACAGTCATTCAACTTATTTACAATGAAATTCCCGAAAGGCTCACGGAGCATTTGATTTTCGTTGAGGAAATCAATTTCCATGTTAAACGCCGCGTATTCTTCAATCCTCGTGCGAAAATTCTCAAGAAACTTCAACAAATGCTCTCCACGTTCACCATAGGTGTTCAAACCTTTTATAGAGCGGAGCTGATCCAAAAGCATCAGGTACTCGAGTTGTTTGTGGTCCAAATTTATTGTCAGCTCATTACAAGAGTAGATTCGTTTGATCAAGGGAAAGTGGAGATCTGCATCGAGGCGGACAAAATTTCGTCGATCCCAAGGGTATCTGTCCAAGAGTTTCCAGATTTCAATTACTGTACGCCAGTGAATAATGCACACGTGATGCCCAAAAACTATCCAGGGCTTCCGCAGCAGGATCGACCGAAATCCGGAATTCACCTTGACCAACTCAATGATATCATCCGGCTTCATATGCTCGAACATCTCCAACTTTAGGTCGTAGCATAATTTCTCCATTGGGAATGGCATCAGATTTCGCATTTCAAACTTTTCAAAGTTTCGCACCATTCTACCTGTAAATAAAAAGCAATTAGATTTCACAAAATTAAGTATACAATGAGAATTAAAGGTATCTAAACAAAATTCTAAAGAATCGCTAGATTTTTAATCAAACATAATAATAATGATCAAGAAAAATTTCAATTCCAAGTTACTAAGACGCGTTTAAAAACCTTGCTGTTTCCTTTGAAAATGAAAGAAAGAGAAGAAAAAGCAAAAATGTTTGGCCATTGGCAACAAGGTTTTTTACCCATTGGCAAAAGACTATTTCTACTTATTATTGATTAGGACCCCAAAAATGCAGAAAATCCCTAATTATTGCGCTAATTAGTGTTGAGAAAGGCTCAGGCTTAGCCTAGGCTGTCGGGCTGTCGAGAAAATGTACAATACTTACAATACTAGTACAATAGTAGTTTATATATTAACTTTAATATGACACGATGATGTCAGTACAAAGTTTTAATTTTATGGCAAGTCTCATGGTGGTGGTGACCATGGTGGCACCCATAATCTCATGTACAGGATATCAAAATATGGTGAGAAATTGCTGAGCACAAATAAACGCTTTTGACACCATAGCGGCCACCTGCAGCCATTAGAGCCTTTTAGGAAATTCGATTTGAAACCATTTTTTGATGAGACACCCTGTATACCATACGTATTGGTTACTAAACACTAAAACAACTATTGGTTTAACCGTATCTCATCTCTCATTTGTTGAAAAAAATTCGTGTAGATCTCGATCGTTTGGTGAATGTGGCTTTTATGTGCGTTTTTCCGTTTAGATTTCGATAAATGTTTATTGAGACCCGTAATGGTTAGACTTGTGAGTCAAAGTCTAAAACTTCAAAGAAACAATAAACTTCCAAAAATCACAACAGAATAAAGAGATGCACGAATTGTGAAATGAGCAAATGAATATTGCATTGATACTCGTCTTTTGAAAAAGTTTAGCATTTGTTGGTGTTGGGGGGGGGTGGGACAAATGTGACCTTTTTTTTGCTGGAAAAGGCCTTAGCAAAGGCCGTAGAGCTTCAAAAATGTATTCATGTAAGGGAATCGTATGCGTAGATTCCGAATTTCGACAAATCAGACCTTGTTGACACGTCAAATTTGGGCTGAAAGGCAAAAACTGCGGAAAAGAGTCAAGTTGCGTATTCGGAATCTACGCATACGATTCCCTTACATGAAACCATTTTTGAAGCTCTACGGCCTTTCCTAAGGCCTTTTCCAGCAAAAAAATGGGTGCACAAATGTCCAGGTGCGCAAAAAAAGGTCGCATTTGTCCCACCCCCGTGTTTGGTGAAAAATTGTCTGTGACTTTAACCAATAAATACCGGAAAATTTGGGATTTCTCTTTTGTGATCACTTGAACGAAGATAATAATTTCTGAATGCTATCGATATCCGTTTGGGGAAAGTGATGGAGATGGAGAAACTGGACGATCATATGATGGAAGAAGTGAAGGACCGGAGGATTTATCGGGAGAAGCTGGCTGAGAGATTGTAACGGAAGAAACCCTCATTTGTGGAGTTGGAGTGGGAGAAGGGGAACGACAAAGGGAGCGCTCGGAAGTGTATCTGTGAACGGATGGATTGGGTGAAATTGCGGTCAGAAAGGATAAGCACATTGGGGAAGAGACAAAAGTTTGTTACTTGACGGGAAATAGAAAATTGAGATATTCTATTACAGAGGTAGTACGGTAGTACTTAAAGGAGCGGTGGCCTGAGAATATTTCAATTTCGAGAAGTAAGAATTTGCTTTTCAAAGATGACCGCAGGACCCAAGACGGAAGAAAATAACAAAGAAACAAAGAAAATAAAAATTTTTATTGATTGAACCCTATTTTGCAATTTTATTTTATTCTTAAATTTGGAAATTCTTACTTTTTTGTTTTGTTTTTGTTTTGTTTTTGTTTTGTTTTTGTTTTGTTTTTGTTTTGACTTTCGATCAACACTTTTGGTTTTTAAAATCTCTAGATGACCTTTTCCAGATGGAGATTTTATGTTTAGATAATGCAAAACGCCATCAAAAAACCCTAAGCTATGTATTAGAGTGTGTTCCTCTCGAGTAATTCGTTTTCTAAAACGCACACTTGGGAAAAAATTTTTCCTTTTTTTCTCGAAATTCAAAATCACTACGAATTCCATATGTTTTATAAGTGAAATGCAAAGAAATTTTTGAATGAATTGTAGAAAATAAATAATCATTTAAACAGAAAGGGTAAATTTTAGCAAAGTGAAGTAGTCTTTAGTTTGATGTTAGACTCAAGACGGAGCACGAGCACGAGAAAATGGAAATCCTCTTTCATTCTAGAGTTAAATAAATTTGCGTCAAAAGAAAACTCAATTCGTCAAAAACAAAGAATCACACTGTAATCTAACAGATTAAACTCTAAACCTAGAAATTTAGATTTGCGTTATTCAAGAACAACAAGGCGATGATGTCTGACCGTGAGACGGAGATCTCTTATTTCGACCTTCTCTGTCATTTGACTGGGCCCGGTCTCGAGATGATCAAGAAATCGTTCAGAGAACCAGTGGAAACTATGTTAAATCTTTTATCAAATACTGCCGGCAGCTGCCGTGAAAAGCTCGAATGAATTGCAGAAATAAAATAGTAGACAATAGAAGAGAAGAATTGAAAGGATTCCAAGAATTCTTTCAAGGAGGGAGAGTTATGTCTGAAAATTAGTTAGAATAGAATCTAGCGTTTAGAAGAGTCTTGGAGTTTAATGCAGGTAAAAATTTGTCAGATCTGTTGTCATGTTCTGTCCACAGACAAAATAACTAAGCATCATGATCGACTTAATCGGGATAAAAATAATGGGAAAATAAAAGTGGTCAGAGATCAAAGCAGCGGACAATTCAAAACATCATTGCCAAGAGAAAGCACAAACTTCAACAATAATGATTATCAATAAGTAGAGAATTTCATCATTGGAGCTATTTTCTTTGTAAGAAAGCGTCGGATTGGTGAAATTTCTTGGTTGAAATGCTGCCATTCTGTCGATTTCAACTTTAAGCATACATTCCCCCAATTGGTTGGCTTTGAGTTTCCAGGAGGCCTAAAAATACAGTAAAGTTGGGGAAGAGTTATTCTCGCTTACCGATATTCCTTGAACATTCGTTTCAATGTGTTTCCCTGTTAGATTATAGTCTTTAGTCAGGCTAAAAGTTAACCGTTTTACCGTAAGCGTTTTACCGTAAACGTTTTCAACAAACTTCATAGGTTTCCATTGTCCAAAAAGATTCAAGAATTCAATCTTCAACTTTCCATCACCAGTCGCCATTGCATCGATTGTAATGTTGATGGGAAACGAGTCTAAAGAAGCTTAAGCGAATCTAAAGAAGCTTGTTTAGAAGCTTAAGCGGTACTTATCTGTTACACCTCCATCTAGACATGGTTTCAAATCGGATTGAAATGAATCGAATCGGATTTTATTTGATCGACTGATCGGTCAATCGGATCGGATTCGATTCGATTGATCTGTCCATCGAAACAGAACACGGAATTCGATTGATCTGTTCATCCGCTCCGACTCAATTCGATTAATCTATCGATCGGTGAAGTTAAATTGGAAATGAAGTGGTGACAGGGATATCGACTAAAGAACACTAAGGTTACGGGCTGGAACACGTTTTAAACCGCTCTAAAGCGTGCGCCAAATTACCGTAAACTTAAGTGCATTTTTAGGCTCGATAAAAGGCGAGACTTTTCTTTGTTCCACACCATTTTTATTATGTATTGTCAAACGTTATAAACAAATTGCGTCCCTGCAATACGCAACAAATTGCTCAGTAGATACATTGCTTCAATACAGTAGCCTGTGAGCTAAAAAGCCTAACAAAATCTTTTAGTTGTTGGGCTCCGATTGGGCTCCGATGACTTCCCAATCGGTTCGGATTCGATCTGATTGACCTGTCAAATGGTTCGAATTTGATTCGATTCAATAGACTCAGCAAACGAATCCATTCGATTCGATCTGATTCAACTTCGATTCAAAACCATGTCTACCTCCACCACCTACTCATTTCTAGTCCCAGCCTAGATGAATTACCATACAAATTTGAACGCATACGACTAGCATAAGCATAGCTCTTTTCCGTTTTACCCCGTCAGTCAAATTTTTAAAAAACGCATAATAAATGCGTTATCGAAAGGAGAACTGATTCAAAGTCGGCAATCGTTTGGTCCTCGATGTTTGGTCCTCGATGTTTAGGAGAACGAACAAATTACAGGAAAAAAAATAGAAAATAACACTTCCATTTAGAGAACCTAATTGTGTGAATACTGTATGCCAGTTGCAATAAATTGAAATTGAAACTTTTGAAATTAAATTGGAAATAAAGAGGTGACAGGGATATAACGAATAAGTACCGCATAAAGCTTCCACTGAATTCAACTCACCACAAATCACTCTTTGTGTAAAACTTTCGGTATCTACAAACGAGTAGACCTCGGCGCGGAAGTGGTTTGGGTTCCCAAATCCACGCGACATCATGAATGTACGACCTCGACAGAGTTGCTGGGTGATGTTGGGTGGGCGATAGGTTGTCGATGCAAGCGACATCGTTTCAAGCGCTAGACTTGGGGCACACCCAGCCGGTATGTGAATACTGTAGAGTCCACCAAGGAGAATTGGCTCGAAGAATGGGTCCAAATCTCTAAAAATTTATAAAACTTATCTTAAAGGGGTAAGGTTATCCGCTCAATTTGGAAATTGATCGATCACGATCCCAGATTTTTGCCTAATTTTCCCTATCCAGACCGCCAAAAATTTGCAACAACCTGTTAGATTCAAAAGCCGTTTAAAAGCCAATATGTTTGTACAAACTTGTTAACCAAAATAAAAATATTTATCATATAAAATTATCTTATAAAATAGCCGTTTTAACTGAATGCTAGTCGAGTATCTACTATATATAAAAGAGAAGTGTCCATCCGTCCGTCACACTCCGGATCTCGGCTCCACATGAAGCGACTTCGACAAACTTTTTTTTGATCTATAGGGGAATTAAAAATGAATAAGTACATACTTTTTGATCAAACCACTTAGCCATGCCACCTTTTTGCCTCCGGCGGCGCTTGGAACGGGGATCATGGTCGGCCTGGTTAACGTCCTACGTACAAAACATACTCCGTTTCGACGTACAAAATCGACGTACAAAACGACTGCCATCAGGAGGTGTCGGCTTTAATTCCCGTCCGTTCCAAACTTTTTTGCTTTAGATTTTTTCAAGCATGGAGTTGAAGTATGCAAATATAAGTTGCGTTTGAGTAGCAAATTTGAGTTGAGCGAAGGTATTGTTATAGGGGTCTCGGAGGGGCGCGAGGCGCGATGTTAGTCGCGCCGAGCATCCCAGTATAGATGTCAATCGTGCTTCGGAGGGTACCAGGGTTGTTTCCGATACTGCTTCGAAGGATTAAGTTGTAGTTTCCAGTATTGTTACAGGGCTCTTGGATGGGCACGGGAGGGGAGGGGCCCTTTAGAGAGACCAAATTATGCATTAGCCCCAAAACACCCAGCCAGAAAAACCCGCTGTTAGACGGGTTTCTTGGCTGGTTATCTTATAAAATAACCGCTTTAACTGGATCCTAGGCGAGTATTTTTGTTACAAAAACCGTCACGTTAAGTGGTAGTCAAAAATCGACATTTGTCAGGCAAAAATCGACCACATCCGTTCCCATTTCTCAAAAACTATGCACCAAATCAGGCTGTAATTTCGGCGTATAATCGACTTCAATTGTTATTGAAAAGAGATTTGAAAAAAGTTATGGTTTAGTTTTTTTCGAAAATTTGTCCGAAGACGGCCGCCATTTCGCCATTAATCGCGACCAGGTGACCATAAAAAATTTTTTAGGGCAACCACCTGTTTTTTATTTTAATATCGCTGATTTTATTATGAAAAGAATAAAAATCACCCGGCTAGAGTGATTTGATGGGTTTACAAATTTTTGGAGACGTTGCAAGGCTTGGAGAAAAACAAGATCGTCACTCATCAGACACATCAGCACAGTCTAGATCGATTGAATTTTAATTGCAGCTAAATTTAAAAACAAATCTTGCAAAATCAAACAAAACCTCCAAGCCTAACGTCTCCAAAAATTTGTAAACCCATCAAATCACTCTAGCCGGATGATTTTTATTCTTTTTATAATAAAATCAGCGATATTAAAATAAAAAAAACAAGTGGTTGCCGTAAAAAAAATTTTTATCGTCACCCGATCGTGATTAATATCCCCCTTTAAATCGACTCTACCCATAAATATTAAGTAGACGTTCTGAATGTGTGACATATCCAGCTGGTGATGCGGCGATTAGTTTATAGTTGCAAGATTGACTTGGGCGATCCTGGAAATGGCACAAATTGAATTGGAATTCGCACAAATCAAATATTATTATATTACCCATCGAAGTTTTTGTAGTAAAGTATACGAAATAAAGACGGATGCCAAAGAGAGCCATGTCGCCCTATTCGACGCTTCGATTCGAAACTTTTGCTTTTGCTCTGTGTATATGGAAAGTAGTCGGAAATTCTCTAAGCTTTTAATTAAATGGAATTCGCATTTTTGGCAAACCGGAAAACACGGTTTCTTTGGTTCGAAAGGCGAGCACTCCATCGGCTGTATAACTGTTAAACACCACTCGATCCAAATAGATCACTCCACCAGCCTCGAATTGAGATTTCAACAGAACCGAGTTGTTGTCAGCCGTAAATCTGAAAGTTTCATTTAGAAAGAAAAAGGTACTCTCTGTCGTCAAACTCAGCTTTTACAATAACAAAAAAAACTATCCAACGCTGAATTTTCTTATAGAAGTTTGTAATTATAGCAAGTTTGTGTTAAATTTAAGGCTTTTCAAGCAAAGATTAAGTCTTTTAATTGGCAATATATCGCCAGAAACAACCCAAACGCCTGGTCGCTTGCATTTCTCTCAAAAATTCTCTGAATTTTGATCTGAATCTGAATCTGAATCTGAAATTTATAATTAAACGTAGTCAATCAAAAGCAATCCTATTTTTTCAAAGCTTTCTAGACGAATAGCAAAATTTCAGGTTGATTGAAGCTCAAAATAAAACTTATCGCTCTAGAAATTTGACAAGTCATACTTTTAACATTTTTAACTGTTGACATTTTTTCAACGGTTTTGTCTATTGTTTCACTTAAGAAAATCGATCTGTGTACTCGATGGAAAGTCTGTTTTTGGTGGAAAAAAAAATGTTTTCTAAACCGAAATTTCATCTAGTTTTCGAATTTCTAAATGGTTTTCCAAAAAAAAATTTCTGTTGGCCCTAAAAACGAGATGGCTCCGAACTTTTGTGTCCTGTATTTCAATTTAATTAAACAACGGAAAACAATTATGCTAACGTATTTTCTCTAATAGTAGTGCACCAAGAGCGGGACCTGACCCCATCAGAGCCGGACCTGACCCCATCAGAGCCGGACCTGACCCCATCAGAGCCGGACCTGACCCCATCAGATTATTTTTTGTTTCGTCATTGAAGAGTTTTCTTATGGGAGAAAAGTTCGAGAATGATGCACAGATCAAAAAAAGCAGTTGACACTTATTTTGGCTCGAAAGCTCCCCATTTTTTTGAGGATTGGATCAGGGACTTGCGACAAAGATGGGAACAAGTCATCAATAATAATTGAGAATATCTCATTGATTGATGTGCGTTTGTTTATATTTTTAGCAATAAACAGTTTTGTGACAAAAAGCGACATTACTTTTTCCTCAACCTAATAACTTTTTGGAAATTCAATATTTTTTATTTCGGTTCGGTTTTATTTTGTAGCACTGAGTTTTAGCTAAATTTGTTGGAAAAATTGAGCTGGGCAGGATTTTTCAATTGCCCTTCTTAAATGATCACTAAAAGAGTGTACACTCACGTGATGTTGTCCGCGATATAAAATGGTATACAAAGACCGTGACCACTACGTTCTTGATCGCCCAATAGGTAAATGACTCCATTCTCCAAAGAAACAACTTCGAAAAAGAAGCGTTTTATGGGTTTTGTCTGAAAAATCACTCATGAGTAAAGTGAGTTCCTCTTACATGAAGGACTCCCCTCCACCAGCTTCTTAATTTGATTTATTTGTCCCATTTATACACATCTGGTGGTGGAGGTAGCTAACACTGGTGGCTAACACTTTAGCGCATTACTCTTCAAGACTATTTTTCTCTGTTTTTATCAAAGAGTATACAAAACAAATTTCACTTTTCTTTAGTCAAATTTAATGAGCATTCTATTAAGTCCAACCATAAGTTGATTCAATTTCTATACCTCGAGTTATAGACCATCTAAGGATCATTTTAAAGTCGAAATTTTTCAATTTTTAATTTTTAAAGCCCAACCTTAAGTCGATTTGATAATTGGAAGTTGAATTATAGAGTAAAATAGAAAAGTGCGCTAAAGTGCCATTTTAACTATAGAAAAACGGCACCTCAGCGCACTACTCTTCAAGACTATTTTTCTCTATGTTTTTATCAAAGAGTATACAAAACGAATTTCACTTTTCTTTAGTCAAATTTAATGAGGACTCTTTTAAAACCAATCATAAATTGATTCAATTTCTATACCTCGAGTTATCAAGTGTTGAACTTGATTGACTTCTGTATATAAGTAGTTCAACTTTGATACAAATTTCACTAAAGTCCTCTTGCATTGGGGAATGGGTTGGAGGTTAAGCGTGGGCCCTCGCCTCCTTCCCTTCACGCAAAGGTGGGTGCGGAGTCCCCCATTTTACAGGCTGCGGCATAATTATGGTAATTTTATCGATTTATTGAGTCTAACTAATTTCTCGATGCCACAAATCAAGTAATTCTTTTTTGCTAGTATATTCTGAGTTACTTGCTCTAGGAAAAACATTATTGGACAAAGGTAAGTGTTTCCTAAAAGTTTTGATAATTATTCAAAGTACACGCGTCGAGAATTCCCGGCCGAACAACTATGAATCGTCCTTAGATTCTATTTATGATTACGATTACCCAAAAACATGAACATGTTTAGAAGTAGTCATAAAACATCGAAATTCAATCAAAGAAACAATTCTTTTCTTACGGAAATTTGTATCTAGCCAGCTATGAAAATCGTGAAATATCACCATCCGGCCGGGAATTCCCGACGCGCGCACTTTGAATAATTATCAGAACTTTTAGGAAACAGTTGCCTTTGTCCAATATTGTTTTTCCTAAAGCAGAATATACTAGCCAAAAAGAATTATTTGATTTGGGGCATCGAGAGCTGAGTTAGACTCAAAAACTTGAGTTTTCATAATTCTGCCTCACCCTGTAGTTTCTCTTGAGTGATGCACTTACTTAAAACTCAGTGATGCACCTCTTTTCAGAAATTTACAGTACTCTAAACGCTGTAGAATTTGGACAGCTTCAATTACTCATTGATTGGTTTCAAAACTATGTGGTTACGAGTAAATTAGCTTTCGGAAAAGAGCAACTTATATGTAGAAAGGGTATTACTCACTCTAATATTCATAAAGCACTGAAAACTTGGATTGAATCTGTTGTACTTACGACATAAATCGAGTATTCGGGTTGAAAAAGTTGACAATTCGGGTATTCGAAGAAATCGAGATCTCGGATAACAAGATGGTGGTGTATCCTCGTAATGGTCGAGCAGAGGATTTGGTTCGATTTGAAATCCGCTTCCTTTTGATGAAGGTAAAATTTATTGAAATTGATTTGCCATGAATTAGATGACTAAGTGTGGCAGTGTTTTTTCAAATTGTAGTTGAAAGAATGTAAATAATCCCGACTGTTCGGTGACTCGAAAAGCAAGACAAAAGAGTTAATGCGTTTACAGATTTTTGTAAAGATGTGCCTGAGTTTTTGAAATTTTTTTTTAGATTGCGTTGTGGGTACTTTTTGTCTTTAATCTGCCTAGTCTGTTCATCGTGATCGCCCTCAAAAATCATTGTGCCGATGAAACGGTGTATTTTTAAAAGTTTAACGTAGGTACTTAACTTTTGTGCCAGCGTCATCTCTCTCGTTTTGTTGCTCTGGGCCGTTTGTGAAAATTACTTGACGGCTCGTGTTCGCTTTTACGAAGTGGGTTTTTGTGTGTATTCGAAAAATTTTGCTTTTACTTTCAGCTTTTTGACGCAATTGGTTTTTTGAGCCTTTTGGCGACACTTTTGTGCATCAACGATGTTTTGTAAGTTCTGATGATTGTTATGTTAAAATAATTCAATTTTTAGGGGTGATTGCAAAGATCTCTATATAGAAGCCAAGAAGATCTCGGCATCCGTTTCTGTAAAGCTGATTTTTGTTGTTTTTCTTGAGATACGGTCTTGGTTCTGGCTCTCTACGTTGCTTTTGCAAATCTATGGTTGATCTGGTCTTTTGGAAGCTACTTGAAGTTTGTTTTTAACTGTCTTTCTAGTCATGCCTACTTTAGGGCTAAAGTTGACGATTGCGTGCAAATAAGAGGATTTGGCAATCCATGCAATGACGTGAGTTTATGGAATTTTTTTGCTTAGTTTTTGATTCTGTTTAGAAAGTTGATGCCGTGATGGAGTCTTTGACACCCGGATCTCCTTCATCTCCGTTTACCTGCAAAGCTCCGCCGCCTCATGATTTCGTCACTGCGCCGCCACCAGTCCGTTCAGCGACTTCGGCACCAGTTAATACGTTTATTAAATGTTTGTAGTGCCTGTATTTGGTTTACATCACAATTTTGATGCTATCGTTATTGCCGCCATGTACAATAAACGTTCAATTCAGTGGCGTATGTTATGCAAATGGTTTAATATTTGAATTATTAGATTATATTTTCTAGCTGATATTTGTTTGATGCATAGCCATGGTACTTTGTATATTCGCAATTTTAGGATGCCGACAAGCAACAGCTGCGACGGGAGGTGAATCGCGCCAGCGACATTCGGTATTCCGGTGATGTCAAACGCAAGGAGAAAATCAACGCTTATCTCAATCAAAAGGGTTGGTTCCTTTTCCTGATAGACTATAACGTATAAATAAGTAATCACAATTTTGTTATCTGCTTTAGTTGAGCCGCTCATTGAGCAAACCATCCATGCCAAGACGAACAATGATAAGCAAATCGCCAAGGCGTTGGGTACACGATGTGTCGACATTGTTCTTACGCTTGGACAAACGCAATGCACAATTCGGATCAACAAAAGGTTAACTTCTAGTATAACCAGCTCGATGATTCAAGTGTTGCAATGGTTGTTATGTGCTTTATTTTTAGAGACGAAGGGGGACTCGGAGACGAGACCGTTGTGATTTGGGCAAGCGTGGATGAATGGCAGGCAGCGCTGGGCTTGGCAAATGTTGCATTTGGCGATTACTTTGGCCCAGAGCTCTTCTTTGTTCTCCTTTGAAACATCTTTGTTACTACGTCGAGACGATCAACGTTCAGTAAGTGTTGGTTTATTCATTAGTCTCCTTTGATTTGTTTGTTGCTAAATTCAAACTTTAGGGATGCGTTCATCATTGCTACAAGACGACTTGCTTGGGTACATACATTGACGTCGAATTTTCTCAATCGCTGAAAAATTGATGGTAAATTTATTTAACTTGACTTTCATAATTAATTTTAGCTGTTTTCCTTTGTTTTAGCTTCTCAAAATTTACATTTCATAAAATTTGCATAGGAAATCTAAAATTTGCATTAAACCTGAAATATAAAGGATTTCAGAAGCGATGATTTCTTCATTGTTACGACCATCGTCATGTCGCATTCTCTTTTTTGCTGCGTTGGTTCTTGTCGAGGTTTGTTAGCTTTTTTGCTTTAATTTTGTTACTTCTTTTTGCGACCATTCTTTGGAAATTCTTGGAAGCTTTTTAGAAGTTCTTAAGTATCTTGGAAAAGATCCCTCAGAACTTTCAATGGGCTTTCTTAAAACTTCAAAAGAAGTTTTTAAACATTCTACTAAGTAGTTTCTTAAGTTTCCTTTTGACGAGTCAACTTTTGATTTAGATGACACACACCCAAAGGGAATACAAAATCTGCCGTCTACAGCAGGACATGGAGGACAAAACTGTTCTCTCATCGCTAGTTTGGAAGTTTGTAGTTTTTGCTCCTTTTTGTACCAATTCTGATTTACGCTAAATTCGATGAATCTTTAGTTGTTACGCTCTTTCCGTGACAAGTTCGATGGAAACCATGAAGCTGTTAAATGCATGAAGAAAATTTGGGATGTCCCACGAACGGAGGATGGACAAAAGAAAGCGGGAAAGCTTGTAAACGACTTGCGCGAAAAGCTGGGCTATGCTTCCGATGAGCCTCTCCGAAACGAGTCCGCTTTTCAACGGCTCACGAAGTGAGTCGTATTTTATCGTTAAAGTAGTCCTAAATCTTTCTTTAGTCATATGTCAAATCAGGACGAAGTATTTGGAGATGAAAAAACGTACAAAATCGTAAGGGGCAGCTTGTTGGGTCGGACTGATTTTTGTGATAATAAAGGCTTTGACTTTAAACCACAAGTGTATCTCGACCAGAATGAAGGTATAAGTAATTGTAATAGTTTGTAATAACGTGTTCTTTAGGATACAAAATCATTGGCTGGATTCAAGGGGTGAACAGTAAGGAATTTGAGGCAGCACGCCTATGTTTCGAGCAAGATCCTCAAGAAAGTCCTAATCCGTTCGAAGCTCATGTTACAACGACTAACCATTCCGTAGCTGTTGTGCGAATTGAGGATGGAGAATATAGAGGGGTTGGTTATTTCCCATAAACGATCAATAAAATAATTCTAGATCAGTGACGACAAAATCGTGCCTTTGAGAGAGCTCCCAAATACTGTGCCGAGACTCGATGTTCTCGTTTTGAAGAAGCGCTCGACCAACTAATCTTTAATCAGCAAATAATCTTTCTTCAATGTGTTTTTCTGTGTTTTGAGTAGAGTTCATGTTGTGCGGGGAATGTAAATAAACATCTTATTTGGAAAACAGGTTGGAAACACAAACCAACAGGGGAACAAAACTCTGCTGTGATCTGGGGCGGGGGTATATTTGTCCGCAATCCACTTGGTCTTTTTTATTTAAGGTGTGAAATGTGACACATCTTTTTCTTTTGAACCTACTTAGTAAACTTACCTAATGAACAAAAATCAAGGAGTTTGTCCAGGTGTTGTTGTCTAATGAAATACGCTCTTTTTTTTTTCTTTTTTAGGAATGCCAATGAGGGAATTTGCTTGGTGAAAAGCAAGGTCAGTCATGCTATGATCGTCATCGAATCTTTAGCCGAGAAGATTTGAGATAAAGTTAAAGGTCACACGTCACAGTCACACGAGATCCTTTTAATCATAAGGACACCACAAGAGGTTTGTTCCCTTTTACCTTATCTGTGATAATTTAGATTAAGCTTCTTATGCCAAATACGTCAGCTGGAATGGCTATTGAAAAATCAGGAGCTAACAGAAAAGAGATCCGTGATAGTTGTGGATGACAAATTCAGATAAATGTTATTGGATAGATCTTACTCATGGTATATTTTAGGTTTTCCCAAAGTCTGTTCGTTGTGATCTTCCTCAAAAATCATTTTGCAGACGCCGACGAAGTTTGTAAGTTCTAACGATTGTTTGTTATGTTAAAATAATTTAATTTTTAGGGGTGATTGCAAAGATCTCTATATAGAAGTGATGTTTCACGACGAAGAAATTGCAAAAGAAGATATTGGCATCTGTTTGTGTATTAAAGCTGATTTTCCTTTCTTTTTCTTTAGATATGGTCTTATTTCTGGCTCTACACTGTTTTTGCCGCTCTCATCCTATGGTTGATCTGTTCCTAGGTAGCTACTAGAAAGTTTGTTTTCAACTGTCTTTCTAATCATGCTTACTTTAGGGCCAAAGCTGACGATTACGGGCAAATGAGAGGAGGCCAATCCATGCAATGACGTGAGTTTCATGAAATTTTTTTGTTTAGTTTTTGATTCTGTTTAGAAAGTTGATGCCGTGATGGAGTCTTTGACACCCGAATCTCCTTCATCTCCGTTTACCTACAAAGCTCCGCCGCCTCATGATTTCGTCACTGCGCCGCCACCAGTCCGTTCAGCGACTTCGGCACCGGTTAATACGTTTATTAAATGTTTGTAGTGCCTGTGTTTGGTTTGCATCACAATTTACAATGTTTTGATGCTATCATTATTGCCGCTATGTACAATAAACGTTCAATTCAGTGGCGTATGTTATGCAAACGGTTTAATATTTGAGTTATTAGATTATATTTTCTAGCTGACTGTTTGATGCATAGCCATGGTACTTTGTATATTCGCAATTTTAGGATGCCGACAAGCAACAGCTGCGACTGGAGGTGAATCGCGCCAGCGACATTCGGTATTCCGGTGATGTCAAACGCAAGGAAGAAATCAACGCTTATCTCAATCAAAAGAGTTGGTTCCTTTTCCTGATAGACTATAATCCTCGTAATGCTCGAGCGAAGGATTTGTTTCGCTTTGAAAGCCGCTTTCTCCATATGAAGGTAAAATTTATTGAAATTGATTTGTCATGAATTAGGTGAGTTATGGTAAGCGGAGTAATGTGATGGCAGACTAAGGTTTGTAAATGTGCACCTGATTGCTCCACCATGACGGGTATTTTTTTAGGTTATGCTGTCGGTGCTTTTATCTTTTGCTCTACTTGGCTTGCTTCAAACCGTGTATGCCCTCATGCTGAGTTATGAATTGTTGAATTGTTAGTTTTTAAATAAGGTTTTAAATTAATTTTAACGTAGCTGCCTAGTATAATCTTTTTCATTTTAATGCTCTGCGTCATTTGTAACTACGTCATCTCTCTCGCTTTAATGTTCTGGGCGATTTGTGACAATTATATGGCAGCTCGCGCCCTCTTCTTGTACATGGTTAATTTTTACGTTCGTTTGAACATGTTTGCTTTCAGCTCGTCTTGAGCGTACTAGACTTTTTGAGGAGAATCGAGGAGGATTTCGTTGCCTATTTGTGGTGTAAAGCTAATTTTCACTTTTTTCTTTTAGGTGCGGTTGTTGTTCTGGGTGTTCTAGTGGTCTACACCGCTTTAGCTTCTTTGTTCCTATGGTTTTTCTGGACCAATGGCAGTTTCCTAAAGTTTGTTTTCAACTTTCTTTCTAATTATGCCTACTGTAGAGCTAAAGCCGATTTCAAGCAAATGAGATGATTTGGCAATCCATGCAATAAGGTGAGTTTCATGGAAGTTTTATCTAGATTCTAATTTCTGTTTAGCAAGCGTCGGGGCATTTGACGACTTTGGAAGATTACTCTGACTTCGGATTCCCTTTGTCTCCTTCGACTAGCAAATGTTAGAAGGATCATACGCTTATTAAATTTCTGTCATTTTGGTTGATTTGGTCCTTTGGAAGCTACTTGAAGTTTGTTTTCAACTTTCTTTCTAATCATGCCTACTTCAGGGTCAAGGCTATCGATTGCGTGCAAATGAAAGGATTTGGCAATCCATGCAATCAGGTGAGTTGATGGAAGTTTTGTCTAGCTTTTAACTTCTGTATAGCAAGCGTTGGAGCATTTGACGACTTTTGAAGACTAATCTGACGGCGCATTTACTTTATCTCCTTCTACTAGCAAATGTTAGAAGGATCATACGCTTATTAAATTTCTGTAATTTCTGTGTTTATTCATCTTGCTATCTACAATTTGCAATCTTTTGATGCTACCGTTAATAACACTCTGTAATAAACTTTTATTTTAAGAGTGTATGGTTGGCAAATCTTTGACAAAATATCTATATATAAAAGAGAAGTGTCCGTCCGTCCGTCCGTCCGTCACAGGCACCTAACTCGACGCCCAGAGCAAAATTCGGGACGCACTTTTTTTTGTTCGATGGGAAATTCTTTTCACACTCCGCCCCCAGAAAATCAGAAGATTTGATCGAACCTTTTTTAAAAAATGCAAAAAACTGCAAAACTAGCCGAGCCCAATGATCTTTGGTTTCGTACCTGTAACTGTAATGTTAAAGTTTTGCTAAAGTATGTGATCGTCTATGCCGAATTATCAGATGTTGGATAGCTCATGTGTAAGAAAGGTACTGTTTTTAAAAAACCCACATCTTCGGATTGTCGCTGTGGAACTGGTCGATAAACGGCTTGAAGTTGATGTCGATCAATCGAGTGCACCTGTAATTGGAATGCTGGAGGTGGGCGTTTTTTAACACAAATTATTTTGATCTTTGCTTTCGTACCTGTAACTCGACTCAATCGACTTTCACTTTGTTAGATTAGGACCCTTTCAATTTGGTTTTGGCTTTGGCTTGACTTTTTCGATTTTCCAAGGCCAGTCAAAGCTGGCTATTTCCAATGCTGCTGGCTTGACTGGATCTGGTTTTTGATTTTTTCGAACAGCCCTGGAGCTTGAATGTAACCAAACCTTTTTCCGCCAGATACACGAAATATGAGGAGAAGATTAGCCCAAGAAATCCGATGTAGAGATTGGTGATGAGCTCTTGTCGATGAATGAAAACGACCGAGCCGAGGAGACGGCTTGAATGATCCGATTTTTGATAGTTAAACCTTGGTGGCAAAATAGTTTCAAACAGGATCTTTAGAGAGTTTTCCAATTCGGCAATGTGGAATTTCTATCTCGGAAACTGGCCCGTTTGGTAGACCTGACTTCTTAGTTCTAAAAATCTTTGCTCAAATTGCTCAAGCTTCTGAATAAAAACATTCAGTTCCCTTTCACACACGAAGAGACAACTAATTCAATTGTGATGTTGTGCAAAATGTGACCTACGAAGCCCTATAACACCTACTAATGAATTTCTCGAATTCTAAATTCTTTGTTCTAACGCTCTGGCTTTTCTGGACGTTCTAACATTATCACCGAATCTGCCCCAAAAGGCGCCGCGGCGCTTATTTTTCGAGTGGCTCCTAGGTGCGGCGCTTAGTTTTTCGAATAAAGGCATCGGTGCCAATAAACTCAGTTTTTTTTCAGAAAATTTTCTGCGAAAAAATTTATCCAAAAAACATAACAACAAAACAATTTCTGTAAATTTCTGTGTTTGCCAACAACTGAAAAAGAAATAAATGTGATCAAGAAAATAAGGACAAACAAAAGTTCCATCAATGGGAGACGAACGGCTCAGCGGACGAACGTAGATGGAGGCCGGATAGTCAATAAACCAGATTGCATCAACTAAAGAAAAACATTCGTTGTCCTGTCATCTTACAGTCTCACCATCCCACCAAACACCACTTCTCCTTGCTGATGGCCGGCGGTACTTACGGTATTTCGATCCTAAGACAACGTTTCAATGTCTTGGAAGCCTAATTCACCACTAGATTGATTGTTGATTCTGGCAGCAATTGCGATGACAGCCGATTTCAAAACCTGAGGGACCAACTATTAACTGTTGATTTTCGTTATATACCTTATCTGTGAGATTCTTGCGTTTATCCGGAGCGTAGTAATTGCTGAACACTCGGAAAGGTTCTAAAACCCGCACATTATTGCTTGCAATCGAGCTAAAAATAAGTGGCTGTTAAATTAAAGTTCTGAAAAAGTTACCGACTCATCGCCTGATACCGGAACTGCTGCTCGAGATCTAAATGACATCCAAGTGACATGAATCGTATATTATGTAGCTGCAATGCCTAACCGAATCGATTTATGTAGTGGAAACATAAGGTTTTCACAATCAAAGAATCAAAAAGTTATCGCCATGTGTTTTTGACACAACAAATCATCGCCCAAAAAGAAAAATCGAATACAAATTTATTTCACAAAGCGGTTTTTAAAAATACAAATTTACAAATACAAAAAAATACAAATTTATTTCACAGCGAGCTAAAAATCGCAAGAAGACAGATAGAAAGCAAAAAGGCCGTAAAAACGTCGTAGCCACGGTCAAGGATATAGACACAATCCCTGCTCGGATCAATGTTTCGTCGAAAAGCAGGACCTTCCGTAAAATTTGTGTCCCCGGACATATAGGCTAGATTACGCTTATCGAAGAGTTCACTCGCCATTTTGCAAACTTCTCGCTGATTTTCTACGTCCAAATGCTTCATTCCAGGGAAATGCGAAAGAAAATCAAAAATTCGAGCACCCAACTCCTGAGAGTATCTGGTATGAACATAAAAAACTGCTTTAACGTTCTTGGTTGGGATCCCCTTTTTAACGATTGATTGCACGATCTCTTCAAAGCGAGTCGTTTTTGCTGACATTTCTAAGAATTCGATTGAAGTTTTGACAAAGGCATCGTAGTATAGGTGGAACAAATCTCCAGAATGTCCCGGAATGTCGTCAAACTGGACCGCTTTACAGTCATTCAACTTATTTACAATGAAATTCCCGAAAGGCTCACGGAGCATTTGATTTTCGTTGAGGAAATCAATTTCCATGTTAAACGCCGCGTATTCTTCAATCCTCGTGCGAAAATTCTCAAGAAACTTCAACAAATGCTCTCCACGTTCACCATAGGTGTTCAAACCTTTTATAGAGCGGAGCTGATCCAAAAGCATCAGGTACTCGAGTTGTTTGTGGTCCAAATTTATTGTCAGCTCATTACAAGAGTAGATTCGTTTGATCAAGGGAAAGTGGAGATCTGCATCGAGGCGGACAAAATTTCGTCGATCCCAAGGGTATCTGTCCAAGAGTTTCCAGATTTCAATTACTGGACGCCAGCTAATAATGCGCACGTGATGCCCAAAAACTATCCAGGGCTTCCGCAGCAGGATCGATCGAAATCCTGAATTCACCTTGACCAACTCAATGGTATCATTCGGCTCCATATGCTCGAACATCTCCAACTTTAGGTCGTAGCATAATTTCTCCATTGGGAATGACATCAGATTTCGCATTTCAAACTTTTCAAAGTTTCGCACCATTCTACCTGTAAATAAAAAGCAATTAGATTTCACAAAATTAAGTATACAATGAGAATTAAAGGTATCTAAACAAAATTCTAAAGAATCGCTAGATAGTTAATCAAACATAATAATAATGATCACGAAAAATTTCAATTCCAAGTTACTAAGACGTGTTTAAAAACCTTGATGTTTCCTTTGAAAATGAAAGAAAGAGAAGAAAAAGCAAAAATGTTTGGCCATTGGCAACAAAGTTTTTTACCCATTGGCAAAAGACTATTTCTACTTATTATTGATTAGGACCCCAAAAATGCAGAAAATCCCTAATTATTGCGCTAATTAGTGTTGAGAAAGGCTCAGGCTTAGCCTAGGCTGTCGGGCTGTCGAGAAAATGTACAATACTTACAATACTAGTACAATAGTAGTTTATATATTAACTTTAATATGACACGACGATGTCAGTACAAAGTTTTAATTTTATGGCAAGTCTCATGGTGGTGGTGACCATGGTGGCACCCATAATCTCATGTACAGGATATCAAAATATGGTGAAAAATTGCTGAGCACAAATAAACGCTTTTGACACCATAGCGGCCACCTGCAGCCATTAGAGCTTTTTAGGAAATTCGATTTGAAACCATTTTTTTGATGAGACACCCTGTATACCATACGTATTGGTTACTAAACACTAAAACAACTATTGGTTTAACCGTATCTCATCTCTCATTTGTTGAAAAAAATTCGTGTAGATCTCGATCAAAATTGCGAGTGACCAAAAAAGGGCACCTTTTGAAAACTCCACTTTCACAAGAGTTCGGTTTTGACTATGTAGTGGAAAATGAGCAAGAAAAAGCGGCAAGAATAGCCAAATGAACAGCATTCTTAACATATAATTCAAAGAGCTGAGTCTTTTTATATGTTTGTGAACAAACGTTTATCGGATGTGACATCCAGGTGAAATCCAGGTAACAAAAATTATGACCCAAAACATCCAGTCAGAAAAACCCGCCGTTAGGTCGGTTTTTCGGCTGATCTAGGTGAATAGAAGGGTAAAAAATAGTCAATTTAATTGACTTTATAGCAGGACCAGGCAGATGGTCCATCTGAAAACCGGATAATCTGCAGTCGTAGTAATTGCGCTAAGAGTACAACTGAAAAATCATTGCAAAGCTTTTTTGTAGCAAAAATATCTTGATTGAACATTAGCTTCAAACCCAAATGGATATTCATCAACGATTGATTTTCCGGATTTGAATCGGATACCAAAAAGTTTATCCAAATCAAGATTCCAGAAAGAACATCCGGAAAAAACAGCGGAAACGGATCTGTTCCATTCGGATCTGTTCCATTCGGAGCTGTTCCATGCGGATCTGTTCCACAGTCAAACTCTTCGTTTTCAGGCATTTATGCTATTGTGGTCACCAATAAGTTTTCGCGTTTCAGCTTCAATCAACCTGAGATTTTGCTATTCGTTTAGAAAGAGTTTAAAAAAGATAATAGCTTTTGACTGACTACCTTTAATTAGAGATTTCTGAAAATTCAGATATTTTTGAGAGAAATTCAAGTGACCAAGCAGTTGGGTTAATTCTGACGATATATTGCCAATTAAAAATTTGATCTTTGCTTGTAAAGTCTTAAATTGAACACAAACTTGCTATAATTACAAACTTTGATAAGAATATTCAGCGTTGGATAGTTTTTTGTTATCTTAGAAGCTGAATTTGATCGGAAAAAAAGGTGGCTCCGAACTCTTGTGTCACTTTGAACTCGTAAAGTACTCCTACCGGTACTATTTAGGGTTAAAAGTGCGGCACGTCAAATACTATGAAAGAAAGTCGTAGCTAAAGTCTAGATTACCCCATCGGTATCGTCAGAGCAATAGTTTAATAGTATGGTACTTAGCCTAGATTATCTAATGTTGGCTTGGCTTGATTAGCTAGATTGGCTAATTTTGGCTTGGCTTGATCAAGGCTTAACCTATCCTCATCCTTTTCCAGAACTCAAATCAAGACGACCAAACAAATCCAAAGAACTTTTTTATGCTCTAGTTTATGGCACAATATGGCACTCTTTAGATTTCATAAAAGCTAGCCCACTTGTTTTTCCTTTGATACAACGCGAAAATCGAGAACGCCAACATCACGGTAAGTATTTCGAAAACGAGAGCAATTGTGCTTTCAGTGTTCAACTTTTCGAGCAAATCTTTTGAGGCATTAATGGCACAATAAGCCACTTGAGTCTCAACGATCACTAAGTCGTTGAATTTCCAATAGAATTCGCCCATGATCACAATCCACTAAAGCTAATCGTGGAATTGGTTTTAGAAAGGAAACTTACTGAAATCAATAAGATAATTCGTCGAATTGCGCTTTCTTTTTTGGCACCATCGCCGAAAAACGAGATGATTCGAATGATTGTCAATGTTAAGTTGAGTGTTGGCAATGAGAATATGGAAAAGGAGATGCCGATGCGAGAAATAAGACAAATCGTTAACGACATTGTTGCCTCACAAGTGGGTTCCAACAAATGTTGGAAAAGAAAGGTACCCTGAACTCTTGTGATTGTTAAAAAAAGATAATTAGTCATGCCGGGGGTAGCTAGTTTTGTATTCTAATTAGAAAGTTCATCCGCACTCCTAGCTTTATTACTCGTACTCGGAAAGTCTGTAAATCAGATTAAAAGCCGGAAATGACGCTAATTGGCTCAAAAAATTGGCTCTAATTGGCTCAAATTATCTAATTACAGCAGTCTTCAGCTGCTAACGCAGCTGAAAACTGCTGCGAGTTGAGGTCTCACGTAAATTTATAACCCATTTTGTCGTGCCAATCGATAATTATACTGTCTTCGTTAGCAGGAATCTTTTCGGGTAACGCCGTTTTTCTTGCTGGACAGTTGGGGCTGAACGTAGTCGGCGATCCATATATTTCATTTATCCAATTTGTTTTAAACCTATTCTTTTAGTTAGCTCATCCCAAATAGGGAAATCTCAAGGTAGAACCGCGCGAAGGTCGAGGAAAACTCTCCCCCATGACCCAGATCAAAGATCTGTGGCTGGGAGCTATGGACCCCTAAAAAGGGCTATTGGGTTAATTTTTCCATAGTTTATTCGAAAACTATATTGTAGAAAATGTTGCGCATAATGTAGACAAACGGGCGTCTCTTCCCTTTTATATAGTAGAAGACTATCGAAATTGACTTTCCAACAGTTAAAATCCATTTTGAAAAGAAAAGCAAAACTAATTTTCTCGGAGGCGGACCTTGGTCCCTCTTTCCCACTCTCGTTTGAAAGACGCGCGCTCTAACCACTCGGCGCTATCGGCGCATCGCAAAATGGGACATCGGACATCTCCAGTCCTCCATTTTTGAATCTCACACTTGTCTCACACGCAAACCAAAATCCTACTACGAAAGAGGAATCCGCAAATTGCCTGTAAAATGGGCAGAAGTCGTCAATCATAATGGAAATTATTTGGGATGAATTGATAGTTTTATGTTGAGTAAATTTTAGTTCAAAGTCCGGCAGTTTTCAATTCACCAACCCAATAGATACTCATTATCCATTGAAATACCTGTGAGAAAAACATCGAAAACGCCTGTATAAGATGCACCACATAGCAACAAAATAAGTGTTCCTTAAAGGTCGAATCGATGAGAATCGACGTGAAGACTCGCTTGGATGTTACAAAAATGGCGACTATTGTTGAGAATGAGCAAATGATTTGAAAAGAGAGAAGTCCTTTCAAGACGCTGTTTGTCGTATATTTTGTTATATCAGTGCAGTTCATCACTGATTCAAAAGAATAAGATTTGAAAATAGAACCGGAAAGTTTCTAATGCCTTTCTACCTTTCTGAGAATTTCCGTTAATTGGCAACCGCGAGGGGGATTCCCAAGGGTCATTTTTTGAAGGTCGAGTGCTATTTTATCACAAAATAAATTTTTCTATAATTGGCAGTTCGCGAACCTCGGAGGTTGAAAAAAATACAAATTAATTGGTGATAAATGGCAAAAATAATTGAGAATCTACTATTGGAGAATTGATGACTAATCGGGATCATAAAGTGTACCTGGGATGGTCAAAAATCTTTAAATTATTTCCTCTTTTATTGCACTTTGTTCTCAATGCAGTTGGATAACTAAACCGACTCAAAAATAAGGTTGGCGTCGTTTTTGCTCGCAGTTTTCATCGTTACTCTTTTTGTATAATGATTTATTTCTGATCATAAAGTTCCTCAAAAGTGATTCCTTGGCAAGGCGAAGAGTTAAAGAGCACATTGAGCTGTGAGAGATCAATCTAAAATTCAGTTTCTCATGTTTCAATGTTTCTCAATTTAACACATTCGCGACGAAGTCAAGGAAGCCATTGAGTCGGATCCACTTTTTTACCAACCTAATATTTTCTCGCTAGATTAGTGATTGTGCTATATTCCGAATAAATATCTAATAAACATTGCCCCATCGGTACCCTCTCACGCACTGCACAATGTTGAAGTTGAGGACTCCTCAAAATGCCCGAGATTTGAACCCTTATTTCGAGTATTTGGGGTTACTGTAGGTTAAAACTAGCATTGGACTCGAATTCCCCGATCCCGAAAACCCTCGTATACAAATTTTCAGTAAATCTGGATCAGTATTTAGTGAGAGACTTGTCCGGGTCACCGGTGATCCGAGCGGGAATCGGTTAACAACAGTATGCTACAGTAAACCAAGAAAACTACCGGATTATTTTTGTCGAGCAAAGCCACCAAACAGCCGCCCCATCCACCACCAGTCATTCGCACTCCAAGAACATTAGCTTTTCTGAGATTTTGCGAGATTTTTATGTTTAGGCATATTTATTGCTTACCTTAGCTATTGCTTAACTGATTAGCCAGCAAAGCACCGATTAGCCAGAAATTTCAAACTCACTTGCACTCATTGATCAACTTATCGATCCCTGGACTCGTGTTTTGGTAGTTTTCTTGTAAACTAAAATGAATTGATCATTCTTTAGACTAAGCATAGAAGCTCTGTGATGACGAGTCACCAAAAAGCTGCCGCAATCTAATAAGACACCAGAAATACCGAACTCTAAGCAATGTCGAGCTCACACGTGTATAGAAAGGACGCCTTCTTCCCTATTTAGTCAGAATCGCTCCTTATTTTCACACACTTTGCCCCACGGGTATTGAATAAACTTGATTTTGTTATACATTCAAGCGAAAGCTCAGAGGTCTAGCCACGTCTAATGAATTCAATGGAGAACACACTAGTAATTCGTAATACAGGGTAAATTAGTTTTGATAAACACAACCTTTCTGTCATACTTAAGCCTGCAGACCTTTTATGACTTTGATTCATAAGTTGACCCATTGCAGTGAGATCCTCTCGTTTACAAGCTTCTTCGAAATCGTTCACCCGTTTGGCTTCTCCAAAACAATGCGAAGCTCTGGGTCTGAGGTTGAATTCTTTCACTAAATCAAGTTGATTCTTAAAAACAAGTTTCATTCGTTGAATTTACTATGTTTTGTATTTTCTGTTAGCAAGGCTGTGAGGCTATCTTTTCCAATTTCAGCGATCACTTCTTCAGCTGTTACATTTTCCGGGATCACCGTTTTCACCTAAAACAGATTACATATGAATCTAGCAAATCAGCAAATGAAACAAAGAAAGCAGAAATCTAACAAATCTTATAAAAAGTAAATTTTCTTTGCACAAGTTTTGGTTCTATTAGCTAATTTTGTTACTTACTAGTTGCAAGAGCTCTTCAAGAGTCTTTCCTGATTTTTCTTGAATTTCCCGAAGCCTTCGCATGCTTTTCCAATTAGGTAGCTCAAGAAATTTTCCAAGAAACTAAAATCTCATAATTTGGAGATTAGTTTTTAAAGAGTAAAACCTGCGCAGCCACTCGACATTCGATCACCCGTTCATTGTACTGTGAGGAGCTGGCTTTGTTTAGATAATCGCCTGAAATAGGAAATCAATAAATTTTGATTGTAAATGCAAATGCAAATGTTGATTGCGTGGTTCTAAATAACTATTTTTGTCTAGGTTCACAAAAACTTTTTTATTTACCTGAATGAAGGACAACAAACAACGCGTTTCCTGGCAGCTTCACCAATCTCGTGGTGAGCGGATTGAAATCGATGCGCAATGCTGCACCATCTTCGGCAAGAATCTTAAAATTTTAGGCTAAGACCTTTTTTTAGTTATTTATCTCAAAAACAGGGTTATTACAAGGGGTCCAAAGAAAAAAGAAAGAAGAAAGAAGGGTCCAGAGATTTGCAAACTGTACCGGAAGCCAGATCCCTAGCTGGCTTGGTCGCTTGGTCAAGTTTTGTTGTCTTAGCCCACAAAAGAAGCGTGCCTGTACCTGATTTTTGGCCTGACCTGGTTTACAACCATGAGATCCAGTTAAAATAACCCCGTTCAAAACACTATCACCCCCTTTTTCCCTCTCACCTCACAAGCTTGATCCATTCCACCACCACAAGTGCCAATCATGTGCTCAGCCTTAGCACATAGATCAGCCAGCCATTTCCCTAGAAATTCCATTAGAGTAGTTCTTGGCAATTTTTTTGACTTATTTGGCTTACTTGTTGTGCATGCTCGTAAAGCCATGCCCTGTGTGAAGGACAAGTGTGGCAAGTGCAGCAGCACAGACCAAAGCAGAAGAAGAGGAGAGACCCGATGAGGGCGGGATTGTTCCTAAAAATTAGATACAAAGTAAGTAGTTCGAAAAAATTAACCTTTGACAAGAATCAGCATGCCTCTTGGTGGCTGTTGAATCGCTTCAAGTACTCCTTTCCAGCCACACAGAAGATAGTCGAACCATTGTGGAGGAGAGGCTCCGTTCCATTGAGAAGGAAGGGGCATTGAGGATGGTCTGAAGTAAAATTTTTGAATAAACAACACACCAGCACCAGGTGTTGACCAACAACAATAACACCAAGTCTACAGAAGAATCAAGAAATTCCAACCCTCTGTCTAATAAAGTTGAATGAAATAGGCAAATGGATCAAGCTCTTTAAGATCTTTCGCTTTTTAGATAAAAGTTTAGAAGCAAATTTTTAGATTAAATTTAAAAATCAGAGTTTCAATTTTCTTGAAATTCTTGTAAAAGCTTACTTGTATTTATCAGGCTGGCAATTTTGGAACTCAATTCTTGATTGAGTTGTCGGTACTACAAGAAGCTCGATATTCAAGTCAATTGCCATTGGTAACACTCCATATCCATTGTAGTCAATTGATCCACCTAGAAACCATTTCGGTTTACTCAAATTTTTGGATATTTTTACAGTTCTTTCCAATGATGCTTACATTTAAAGCGCCACAATCAAAACATTAATCACTTGGCCTCAATTTCGTCTATTATGAATCAAGAGTTCCTTTTGATCCATAAGAAAAGCCAGCTGTGCTGGGGGTAACCAGCTTGGGGTAACCTATGGGGTAACCAGCTGTGCTGGACATCCGCTACGCGACCGCACGGAGAAATTCTCTCTAAAATCTCTTTGCAAAAAAAAAAAAAAAAGTTTGGCCGTGAGAGGGGTCGAACCCGCCGCCCCCTTTCCAGCGCTCGCTTCAGAGACAGTCGCGCTATCCTCCCAGCCACCCATTGCCTGACGATCAGAGCTCCCTCCATACGCTACGGCTATTTTGCACAGGAAGTTAATATTATTAAACCATTTATTAGATATTAGATGTTGACTTTCTGGATATTAGTTCATGCTCACCGATCAAGTTGACTTTCTAGATCTAGATGTTGACTTTCTGGATATTAGTTCATGCTCACCGATCAAGTTGACTCGTCCCGGGCATTTGATCCGGTAGAGTGGTTTGACTCCGTATGTTTCCTCAAACTCGATCTCCATTTGATAGATCAGAGAATCAAAAATATTTAAATGATGTTCATTAAAAAATGTTTAGAAAAGATTAGTTTTAGTTCAAATCCAATCGATGAGCGAAAGTTAGGAGATTATCAATGGCATGATGAGAAAATTGCCTTTTGAAATGATAGTGAGAGAAATTTCTCTCTGAAATTGGCAATGAACTTACAAGGTCAACTTTTTGGTTCATCCAACACAAAAGAAACTCAACGCAGTTTAAAATTTGAAGTGAAGACGCTGCTTTATTTTGAGCTTTAAATAATCTAAAGCTCAAATGATCAAGAAACACAAGGGCCAAAAATCTCGTGTTTCTATTAGGTACATGCATAAGAAATGCGGATTTCAACATTTTCAGAAATTTCGCTCTCCAGTTGCCGTATGATCGAGCGAGTGTACCTCTATAATGATTCGTTAAAGTGTAAGTGAGTCTTGAGCCCATCACATCAAATACATTCTTGCTCTATGCAGAACAAAGACTTGCAACAGTAAATTTTGCGATTCAGCTCTTTTCTTAAAAGAGACGTGGGAAATTGAGCTCGCTTCTCTTAAAAGGAAACTCTGGAAGAAATTTGTTTCTGTTTTTGAGCAAACTCATTCAAATGCTTCAAGTTTTATTCCAATTATTTTTGAAGCTCACCTGACGAGAAAGATGATAAGCAATAACAAAAAGACGTTTTGAGTCATAATAAATTTTCTGCTTTTATTTTCTGAAAAATGCTTTTATTTTATTTCCCACAAAACGCTTCCTTGCGAAAGCCATGTATTTGTTGAGAACAAAGCTTTTACAGTAAAATCTTTTTAGTAACCAAATCAATAACAAACGAATCTCATTGTTGAAAATTTTTTGATTCAATGGCAAAATCTTCTATCCAAATTGTGTTCATTTTCGATGCAAAATTTGAAAACGTTCCAGAAAGTAGGTATTTTGTTTACGATTAGTAACACTGAAAATGCAAAAGTCCTCACTTTTTTGATTCAATAATAAAGGTAAAAATTGAAAATTAATAAAGGTGAAAAATCTCAACCTTTATTGTTGTGTTAACTTTTGAGATTTTAGCCAATAGCTTTGCGAATTTGTTATCACTATTTATTTAGAATATTTAAACGAATAAAACGATATTGACCAGTCATTTCCGATCAGTCATTCAGATTTGAGCTGAGTTTTTGTTTATTCGCATTTATCTTCATAATCTTCGGTAATTTCTACCTGTCTCGTCTCATTAGGGTTCAACACCTTGCTTGTTACTTCCGGTTCGGCAGTTGCAATGAAGACATGACGTCCAATGCTGTCAGTCGGCAAAAATTCACCACTGGAATCAACGGGCAATCCATTGGCATTGGTTGGCACCGGTTCACCGTCTGGTCCAACGTGTCTTCCGCTTGCATCAGTAGGCAGTGGTGTTCCATCGGGTCCGACAAGAATTGTGACTGGTGTTGAGACCACAAAAGCATAATATGCGCCTCCAAATGTCGCCAGCACGATGAGCAGCACAATTAGAATCGGGATTGAAAAACGGCAGAGGTTTTGGACTCATTTGGGTTTCTGATCCGCCAAAGCGGGGTTTTCTTCTTGAAATCATCTTGAAATTTTTTGGCTTTTGTTTTGCTTCTAAATTTGTACCAAAGTTAGCATTTCTTAGCAGCACTGCTTCTAACGGCCCCATAGATGATGTGATCGGTGGTGACGAAAGTTCAGAATGGTTTGTGTTCGACTTTGTGCTCGACTCGACGATCGTGGGATGGATATCCTGATGTTCAAGCTGGAAAGTTCGATTAATGTGACTTTATGAGTAACTAACCCGGGTAATAGCTGCTAATTGTTGACAGACTTCGTCGGCTTTGGGTCTCGATCTTCGGTCAAAATTCGTGCACCTAAAAAGATTGATCCCTTATTGCATTAACTTATTATCTTGTCACTATTTGCTGCAGATTCGGTTGGTAGTTTGGTGCTTTCTGTTTGGTGCATTCTGTTTCATAGTGCTGTCGAGACCCATCATTATAACGCTTGACATATTTGATCACCGCTGGTCTAGATAGAAGCTAATTAAATCCTACTACCAACTAGCTGTAAGCATCTGATGACACTTCTTAGTTCAAGAAAAAAGACCAATGTCTTTTTTGCTGTGTTGGGCAAAATTCTGTTAATTAATCGTCATCATCAACTCATTTCAAGTTTCTATGAGTATCCAAATTTAGGCTGAAAACCAACGGGTCGTGTCCAACGAGTTGAAAGATTTGTCCATAGGTTCCATTGCCAATCGATTCCTCTGGATATCCGGACATTTATCACAAATTAAGTAAAAAAATCTGAAATGTCTGAAAAGAAAAGTTGAAAGCAAGGAAAGCTTTTAACAGTTTCTTAATCTCTTGATTGAAAAGCTATGTATAACATGGTGGAAATTGAGTTTGAAAATACCTAGAGCGAAGCGTTTGATTGCCGTATTTGAAGGAAAATAATCTGATTCAAGGTTAATTTTGTGGAAATTTTCTTTTGAAAGAGAAATTGAAAAATCTTAACCCAAAACTTTGCCTGAGTCCAAAAGTAGATTCTCTCAAGCTTTTTTTTTCTAACAGGTGACACCTTTAGCCAAAACCCCTGAGAACTTAATAAACATAGAAAGAGGGGAGGCTGATTTATTGAGTAGGCTGACTGGCCTTTTCTTCAAAAGTTGTGTTCTCATTTGTGGAAGTTTCAGTTTAAAATGTCTTAAGAAAATCTGTCTTAAGGAAAGTTGATTGATTGTAAAGTGAAAATGAGTCCCATTTCCTTGCGAAAGCAAAGAAATGAGACCCAAAAATCCAAAAAAGCTCCAATCTGACACCAGAGAATTGCCATTGTTTTCCATTTCGAACAACATAGAAAAATGCTTTTATTTTATTTCCTACAAAGCGCTTTCTTACGAAAGCTATTTGTTGAGAACAAAGATTTTACAGTAAAGTCTCTTTAGTAACCAAATCAATAACAACATTCAAACCAAGATTATATATGTCGTCCGCAACGAAGATCGTAACGGCGGCGAAAAATTTTCGTTAGCGGCTGAATTTCGTTAGCGGCTACGACATATATATGTTGTGTCCGATTTAGATTTCCGTCCGATTTAGATTGAACTTATCGCGGACGTCCGATAGATTACAGTCATATCGGACGTCCGATTAGATCAACTAAATCTATATACAGGTTGGTGCAAATGAAATTTCGTTTTTTTACAAACATTAAAGTCACCAGAGCTGGCATGATCTTTCGGTGATAACCTGTTCTCACAAAGGCGGAACAGAGATCATGATGTGAATCAGCAGCGTTTTTGCCCATTTTGAAGTCATAGAGAAGACACGTGCGCAGAACATACTTTGATTCACCATGATCTAAAGCAAAAACAATAAAAAGTGAAAGCCTGACTTGAAAAAGCGAAAATAAAGAAATATCCAAGAGACAAATGCACAAAAGACACAAATAAGCCTTCAGATTAAAAAAATAAGAACATTTTATATCGACCGAAATTTCTTTTGCACCAACCTAATAGATTGAACAATAATACGCTTGTATAGATTGAACAATAATATAAACAGCTAACATATGTTCAAGCGTTTTCTGTAGTTTCTGCATTTTTCAAAGGTCTTTATTGATACAGTCTATATCGGACGTCCGATACAGATCGAACAATAATAAACGTGCTAATAATGTTCAAGCGTTTTTGCAATTTTCTGCGCTTTTCAAAGAATCAAGATGTCACAATAGCATGTTCAAGATGCCACAAAGAATTCAAGTGTCACAATGTCACAATTCTGCAATTCAAGATGTCACAATAGCCAAGCTGCAAAAATAAATAGAAATTTTAACCGTTCTGTTGTTGTTGGTTTTGGTGTTTGTGTTGTAATTTCGCACTATTCTGTTAACGCTAATAGATTGTTTCATAGTTGGGTTTTCTTTTCAGAAAAAGACAGTAACAGCACCTTGAAAAATGCGAAAACACAGAAACGCAGAACAGTATTAAGCAGTTTATATTATTGTTCAACTATATAAGATTTAGATTGAACTAAACGGACGTCCGATATAGACGTAATCTAAATCGGACGTCCGCGATAAGTTCAATCTAAATCGGACGGAAATCTAAATCGGACACAACATATATGTCGGCGCTAACGTAGCTTATGAAATTCAGCCGTTTACGAATGAGGGTATTTCCGGGTATCCAATCAAAAAGTCGCCAGCATGAAAAATGTTCATAATACATATATTTTATAATAAATTTTTGAAATTAGCTCATTTGGTTCGGTAGAAAATTTTTTTTGAGTCCCCAAAGTTTAGGCTCACAAATGCCTTAAAATCTTTATAAAAATTTTCTACTCAGCCAAAAAACTGGCCTAATAGCTCATTTAATAGCTCATTTTGTAGCCAATTTGTGGTAGATTCTTGAAGTAAAGCTACATTGGACATTTGTTTTTCAAAACTAGGAGAAAGAGAGCGAGGAACGACTTCAGTTGAACTCGGTCGCTGTTTTCACATTTGAGAATTGCCCTGAAATCGTTCCTCGCCCTCTTTCTCCTACTTTCAACACGTAAAATGCCAGCCTTTATTGTTGTGTTAACTTTTGAGATCTTAGCCAATAACTTTTAAACATAATACTAGCAACCCCCAGTTGTTAACCTAGAAAAATGCCATGAAAAACGAAAACGATATCAGAAAAGACAAAAAGTCTTAAGGATAAGTTCATAAATATCGCCACGAGAAAAACTGAGAATGGTTGTCGTTTGATGCTTCATTATTGAGTAGCAGGATTTTTTGTCTCTGGAGTGTAGTAGTTTTTGCTGAGATGAAATTTGATTAGGTAAACAATGTTCACATCACTGAGAGAGCCTACCTGAAATGTAAGTATCCATAGCTTTCCGGGTTTTGTTCCATTTCTTGATAGAATCGTTTGCGAATTGCAGAGAATCCGGGACGATCTTTTGTCTCATCTAACCAACAATTATTGGCTATTTCTTTTCTGTAAACTTGTTATTTGGCTAAAGTATAACATTTCTTATATTTGTAAGTGACTAGTTCGTCAAGTGTCAATTTTAGCTTTCTTACATCCATTCTGGCATTTCATTGGGCAAATCGAGTCGATTTCCCTTCTTTAAATATGACAAAAACTCGTTGTTGGCCATCGATTCGAAAGGAGTTTTCCCGAAAGAAAACATTTCAAAGAGAACAACTCCAAATGACCAACTGAAATATTTTTATTTTCTTGATCAATTCTTCATTTACATCCACTCCCACTCACACATCACTCTTCTCTGAGAACCTCGCGAATTCAATCGATTCTGGTGGCATCCATTTGATCGGTAATTTCCCTCCTTGAGACTCGTAATGTTCATCCTTAATGTGACGACACAAACCGAAATCCGATAACTGAAACTCGGTGTCTCTTATGTGTCTAATAAAGCACGTAAAAGTTCGAAATGGTATTTTTCTTTAAACTTTCCTATTGGACAGAGCCCACCTTGGCCATCTTCCTCTCGGTTATCAAAACATTTCTTGCGGCCACATCTCGATGAATAAAGTTTTTACTTGATAGGTAAGCCTGATAAATTTACGATAAAAAAAGAAATATGTGTCCTCACAAGGGCATCACTAAGTTGCCAACCAATCGGCACGAAATCATCGACTTCTAAGCAATTTTCCTAAATGTTTGTTTATTTAGGCTAATCCTTGAATACAAACGCTCGAATTGGCATCTCCCATTTTCCTCAAAAGACTCAATAAATCTCCCAGTTCACATAATCCAGTCACAATTAACGGAAAATTTGGATCAGTTGCACAGGCAACGAGTGACAAAATGTGTGGATGGTACTCGAGTTTCTTCATTAGCTCGATTTCTTTCAGCAATTCATTTCTGTAAGTTGGGAGTTAGTGTTAGTGGAGTTAGTGGACGCCTTCTTAAGACCGTACCTCTCTTTCGGTGTCGCGTCTTCTCTAGCCACCTTCACAGCCACATCGTTGCCATCATTTGAAAGCAAGTATGAAAGCTTTAAAAAAATTCTGTCAACATTAACTTTAAATGTTCTGTGTTTATGTCTTTTTGCGCATATTTGCATACTAACTTTGAGTGTTTATGATCACAGCTTAGATCTCGTGTTATAGATGTTTTTCATGTTTTTTAGTTCACAACTGTTTTCTGTCAGTCTATAAATAGGTATTTGCTCTTCAAAGTCTCTTAAATTCAACTACAGAGTGCATCATAATTATTGCAACAAGATACTCAAGGCATTGCACACCAAGAAGTTTCACTGGAAGAAGATTTTTAAACAGAAATAGCTCTATTTAACAGTAACAAATAAGGAAACAAGAGATCATTCGTTATGACCACCTTTTGCCTTGATAACAGCCCTTAATCGGTTCGGATATGCCTCCACTGCGGTCCGAATGTCATCTTGAGGAGTCGCCTTCCATCCTTTGGTCAAAAACTTCTTCAAGGTCAAAGGCAGACATTAGCCTCTAAGATTGCCCAAATGGAAAAGTCCATCACATTGAGATCCGGTGAGTTTGGAGGCCATTCATCCTTGGTGATCACTGAGGGAAAGTTGGCCACACACCAGTCCTGAACCGTCTTCTTCGTGTGAGGCAATTAGGCAAGAAGGCAATTAGGCGTGTGAGGCGTGTGAGGCAATTAAGGCGTGTGAGGCAATTAGGCAAGAATAAAGAAGATAGAACGCAACACAACAAAAAAGGGGGCAAAAAAAAAATAAGTAAGCTGTTTGGAAAACGGTCTTTGAACTCTTGTTGCAATAATTATGACGCACCCTGTACAGCCGACTCTCGATATAACGACTTGTTCGATACGACGACTAATACTTACGATCTTGGTCTTACTTACTTCTATCTAACGATGTTCGATATAACGACTTCATTTCGCGGTCCCGACATACCGTTATATCGAGAGTCGACTGTATTAATTTTTGCAATTAGTGTAACAAAAGTGCTGTTTTTGTAGATATACAAAAAGTACGGTCTCCTACTTGCAATGAAGGATAGATTTTCGTGACTGGCGCCATTCCTTGCAGGTATCCTCGATGCACAACTGCAAAAGCTCCTGCACCCAAGGTTTCCTCGAAAATTTTCAGCTTTTCGCCTGAGATTTCCCATTCGTCAATAAATCTGTAAAAAATAATTTTTTGCACATTTGATTGGTTAAAGCTAACTTTTTCTTTGTGGTGAGTGCTCTGTCCATCGCTTTTTTCAGTTGTGGAATCGAATTGAATGTTCTCTGAATCTGGTCAGCAAATGGGTTTCGATGTGATAAAAGGAGGCGAATGAGCAGTCTGAAATGAATACTGATTTTTAAGAGGCAATCCTCCAGAGAAAGCTACTCCGAGGATAGGGGTGATGACTCCCGAGGCCTCTAATAACTCTCGGGGTGTTTTCTAAAAAAATTCGTTACAATGCAAACGACAACTTCATTCTCAACGAATATTTGTACTGTTTTTCGTTGTTTATTGCTTTCTTTCTAGTTATAATTTGTTTACTTGGGATTTCTAGTCATCATTTTCAAAAAATTGTTGAATAAAAGAAATCTGAGAATTTTTTTGCAGATCTGATATTCACTTCCAATAATTTTGTACACTTTGATAAGCATTAAAATGATTCCTGAGGCCTCCAATAACTCTCGAGGGTAAAGGGGGCTGTCACAAATAATTCCCGACTGGAGTTATTAAAGGGTGTCCAATAAAAAAGCGTTTTCAAACCGGAATTCAATTCAATTCCTCAGAATTTCTGATTGCTCGAGGTGGTCGGTGTGGTGTCATAGTGAATCATTTATGCTCTAAAATTTTTCATCTTTTTCACAAAATCACCATGTCTCGATAGGGAGTATCATGAGGATTATGGGTGCCACCATGGGCACCACCATGAGACCATCAACCGAGCAAAATTTTTACCAGAGAGTGATGATGAAGAAGAAGATACTGGCATGAAGAAGAAGATGAAGACGAAGAAGAAGATACTCGTGGTGTCATATTAGAGCTAATATATAAACTAGGATTTTTAAGCAAATACTTTTTTGATCAGCAATTCCCTGAGAAAATTGGGCACCTCCCTAGAGGCGGCAAGCTGGGAGAACCTTATGTTCCAGAGATTAGCATATGATTCAGATGTGTAAACTGTTTGTTTAGAAATCTTAGTTTATATATTGGCGCTAATATGTTGCCACTAATACGCTAATATGTTACCATAGAAAGTCTTCACTCTATGGTAGAAATTTTGCCCTGTTGATGGACTCATGGTGGTGACCATGGTGGCACCCATAATCCTCATGATACTCCCTATCGAGAGATGGTGATTTTGTGGAAAAATATGAAAAATTTTAGAGCACAAATGATTCACTATGACACCACACCGACCACCTCGAGCAATCAGAAATTCTGAGGAATTCCGGTTTGAAAACGTTTGTTTTTTATTGGACACCCTGTAGAGTATTTACGGTCAATATAAAATACAAAACATTGATTAGCCTATCGCTCCCACTCACCCGGATTTAATGCCAACTGCACAACCAACAGCTACGAGCAAAATGGAAATAAAAAGAATCACTGTCGGCACAATCCATATCCAATCTTTTTTCGGCGAGTCGCTCCCGAATGTGCTCACTTCATCGACATGAACTAACACCAATGTTCCACCGCCAAAAGATGTGCCATTTGGTGTCCAAGTTATCTTAGCAAGTTTTTGCTTTACGATAAACTGGTATACTTACCAGAACACTCACCACTTCTTCATGGGTTTTGTTAAAGGTTGAAGTGTAGCTCGTCGGAGGAATCCCAACTGAAAAGTATGAGATTGAAACATAAAATTCACTTGATGAGTCACTATCTCAGTTATTGACAACCACTTTTCTTTTTTTAATGAAATAGGAGGTTTGGTACAGGGTGTCCCACATCTCACTACGTTTAACTGCTTTCTGTCTTTCTTTTTTTTCTTTTCTTATTAATTTGATGTTTGGATTGTTTTTTGGGTATGAGGCCTAAGAAAGAGCTGCGTCCAGCCATTATTACTATTCATCAGCAAGGAAAAAAACTCTCCGAGATATTTCGAATCTTGCAGAAAAAGAGGCAGAATGTTTTTCGCGCTCTGAAGCATTTCAAAGAAACGGGCTCCAATGAAGATTGTAAAGAGCGAGCTCCACTCAAGACTGCCAACAATTCCACAAATCTTCAAAAGATTTTTGATCGACTTAAAAGAAACCGCAACTCCTCAAAGAGTTCTGTTGGAAAAATGGCCAAGTCTGTTGGTATTGGAAAAAATTCGGTTCATCGAAACCTCAAAAAAAACCGAAATGAAAGCCAGAAAAGGGATAAAAGACCATTTTTGACAGATTCAATGTACTTTGTGAATTGAGAGAGGCCACTTTTCTTGGCTTCACTTTCAATTTCAAATGTTTTTGTTTGCATCTTTATGGGGTTATATAAATTTAGTTAAATTCGAAAGTTTTTGCTGTACAAAATATAGTTATTATATGCTGACATTCAGGAAAAGACGATACCGTAAATACTGTAGTTGAAGAGCATGCCTATCTTTTTTCCCCCGATCCTTTTTCGGACTTCCCCAAAAATCACATAAGGGGGACCATATAAAATTAAAAAAATCGGAGTGGGACAAATGCGACCTTTTTTGCGCACCTGGACATTTGCGCACCTTTTTTTGCTAGAAAAGGCCTTAGGCAAGGCCGTAGAGCTTAGAAAATATTTCCATGTAAGGGAATCGTATGCGTAGATTCCGAATTTCGACAAATCAGACCTCGCTGACACGTCAAATTTGAGCTAAAGGGCAAAACCTGCGGAAAAGCGTTAAGTTGCGTAGTTTTTGCCTTTTAGCCCAAATTTGACGTGTCAGCGAGGTCTGATTTGTCGAAATTCGGAATCTACGCATACGATTCCCTTCTATGAAAACATTTTTGTAGCCCTACGACCTTTCCAGCAAAAAAAGGTGCGCAAATGTCCAGGTGCGCAAAAAAAAGGTCGCATTTGTCTCACCCCCAAAAAATTTTTTAAAATCACTCTAGCTCGATTGAAATACTCTAAAACGAACGAAAAACACGTTTAAAAGAAGAAAACTTTTTCAGCCTTGACTCTTGGAGGTCGCCCTCTCAAAAATGATAAGGGTTCCCTCTTACAATTGAAATTTTTTTTAGATCCTTTTAAATTTTACTGCCAACTTTTCCAGGTTATACATACGTCCTATATACACCATTTTGAGCCCCTTTCAGCCAAACTTTTCTACAAAAGCAGTGACTTTTTGGGCGACCAATTTTGTATGGGGAAGGTGCCCTTCAATTACAGTATTTACGGTAGTGAGTTACCGTAAAGTGGTGCCATTCTGTATACTCTCAAACCACTGAATTCAAATTTCATAACGACATCTAAAAGAAATCCATTAATAGTGTGCTCACATTTCAGATGCAATAATGTCGCCTTGTTGTCCCTTGTAGTCGATTCGAAGAGTTCCATCAAAAAGGGCGACCACCTCACCACGAACCGTCAACAAAAGGCCGTCATCTGTCGTGTTTCTATTTTTCGACAAAAGCTTTTAAAGACTCACTGCAAATGACTAAATGTGACAGTGACAAATCACTAAATGTGACACTAAATGTCTCATTAATGAAAGGGTCCAAATATCCCGGCGAATCGATCATTGCTGTGCCTTTTTGGCAGAGTTTTTGTTCATTCGTACGGTCTAAATAACTTTCCATCTAAATAACTTTCCACTAACAAGTAAAATACAAAAATTGATTTTACAAATACCTAGTTGCGATGGATACTTTCTGACTTCGATGACTATTTTGGGCGAGCATCCGGGTGGAATGGTCAAGCTGTAGACACGATTCTCGAGGTATTGTTCGATGAATGGAGCCGATTCACTAAACATTTTGTTAATAATACTATGAGTTGTTAAGGCTTACTCAATCATTAAAAGAAAATGTTGATTGTTGGTGAAATTCGAGGACTGAGGCGATTGAACGTAAAGTTCGTAGCGACATCTCGCATTCGTTGTTTTCTACAAAAATTTATCTCGCTCTACAAGGCTTGAGAAAATTCTCTTGAAACAAATACCGTATTTATTCTAATAACTGCCGCGGGAGTTATTTTTTGGTTCAAAGAAAATGATGTTGATAGGTATTTGTTGATAGATAGCTAAAAACCAAAACCCCTTTATGCCACCTCTTGAATTTAAACAATTTATTTAATAAAAATTAATTAACAGGCAACAACTTTAACAAAATTAACAAAAAGATAACAACAAATCACTAAATGCTAGGAATTTTCTTTAATAATCTTCTTCGAAGTCACTTTCTTGATCGTATTCAATCGACGATGTTTCCTCTTCGATGTCTGTGGTTGGTTCATCTTCATCGTCATTGCTCACAACAGATCCATCAGAATTATAATCCAGGTTATTTACGCCCTCATCCAAGTCTATTTCTTCCATTAACTTTGCCAAAGTATTATCAATTCTTGCTGTAGAAGTTTTGACGTCCCTATTGGAGTTTTGGTGAAAGAATGAATCATAGCATCTTCAGAGTTTTCACCTTTTAATTGATATTTGCTTTAGATCATGGTGGATCAAAAGCATGTTATGCGAGCGTGTCTTTTCTTCAATTCCAAGATGAGCAAAAACGCTGCCGAATCACATCGTGATCTCCGTTCCGCTTTCGGAGAACAAGTTTTGACCGAAAGGTCCTGCCAGCTCTGGTTTGCTCAATTCCAAGAAGGCATTGAATCACTTGAAGAGAATCCACATGGGCATCGCTCGGCAGCGATCAATAATAATGAATTACCGCAAAGTTTGAACGATTTGAGCAGTAAAAAAGGATTATAAAGCAGTCAAAAATGAAAACTAGCAACTAGGTAACTGAATAAGAGAATCCGAAGAAATTTAGCTTAGATATTTTCAAGCAGTGGGTACGGTAATTTTAGCGCAAAATAGGATTTGTGAAAATCCTCTAATAACTGCCTTGGTAGCTATTAGGATGAATACGGTATTTCGACCACTCAAAAGGCATTTAAAAACTCGCTTATAAATCTGAACCAAACTCTTGCATAAAAAATGGTTAAAAAAAATAAATACCATGATAAAATGTAATAGGTGTTCAGAAAAAAGGAGATTTACGGAAGAGGAGTTAATTTCTCTTCTATTAGGTTGATGCATAAGTCTTTTCGTTTTTTTCGTACTTCTGTTAAAAAGTAACAAATTCACCAATTAATCTATAGTTTGCTCTATAAAAAAAGTGTTTTTTTGTTCAATTTGCATCTTTTTAAATGAATTTCGGTTCACTTTCAAGCAAATTCGAGAGTGAAAAACGCCTTTTTCGTAAAAATCTATAAAAAACTCTACGGAAAAATTGGCTGAATGAATTTCTCTGAAATTTTGGCGAAATATCAAACTTTTTTTTCTCTATCTTTTATCTATTGACACGAAGATAGGTTTTCTTTAGCTAAGGTGTCTAAACCGCATCATCGAGTTAGCCCTTTTTGTCTACCCGACTTCATACTCTCAAGAAAATCCAGGCATAAAATATTTTTAAACCCGTTTTAATGTTATTTTGCAGAAAAATAATTGGTTTTTCTAATGAAATCAACCGTAGTTTAATTGGTGCATTTGTTGGCTTGAAACGGCAGACGAAAAGGAACGAAAAGACTTATGCATCAACCTATTAATTAATAAGCCTTCTCTTCTAATAAGCAATTTCCCTTCTAATTAAAAGCCGTTAAAATATTCGGTGCTTGTTGTTTTTTAACAATCCCAAAGTTAAAAGCTAGAAGAATTTAGGATCTGTTTAAGCTTGAACGAAAAATCGCAACAATGCAATCCTGTAAAACAAATGATCTTTTCGAATCGAAAATCAAATTTGATAAATGCTGACAATAAAAATCCTAACAATGGATTACTAATTGGATTCCTAACCCTAACAGTTGATCAAAGAGATAACACAAACTGATTGTAAGCTGGTCAACACGTGTGGTCCGTCATTTTCTTGTTCCAAAACGAGAACAATCGTTGTCCATTTGTTTGACTCATTTGTTGTCACTTCACAGGAGCTGTTCAGTTCACTTTTACAAGTCAACACTTCGTAGTCGCGATTTTCTTAAATTAGCATTTATGTCTATTTAGAAAAATTTGTTTTAAAAAAGCTACCTTCAAGCAATTCAGGCACACTGATTAAAAAAGCGCTGTTGTTTTTGAGCAGATCACTTTGTGGCATCCCGTAATCCCACAACAGCGACAAAAACGTCTTTACAGATATTTTACAACTATTTATCGTTGTTTGAGTCGATATTTCAAAACTGAAAATGATTTTTTGTTCTTAAAGATCAAAAGCTTTGTCGCAAGCCTCTTTTTGCACTCTTCATCCCATTTCGGAGGCTTTGTGACACCAATAAGAAAAGGCACTTCAATGTCGCAGTCCTTAAAAAAGAAAAACTATTCATTTATTGAATGAATATATAGGGTGGGCCATAACTACGTCCTCGAGGGTGTCGCTTACAAAATAGATACGCTTACAAACACGAGTTACCGCAGACGGAGAAACGCCTCCTCTCTTTATTCCACAAGGGGTGAAGGTCAACAGTATTTCAATTATTTGGATCTCCTAAAGAATAAAGTATTGCCGTGGGCTCAAGAAAATTTTGCTGGGCGTTTCTGGACCTATCAACAAGACGGGGCACCGGCTCACAACGCCAAAATTGTTCAAGATTTCTGCAAAGCCAATCTTCCCGATTTTATCGAATTCAAAGATTGGTCAGGAAACTCCTCGGATCTTATCCGATGGATCTCTCAGTGTGGTCTGTTTTGGAGACAAAAGAATGCTCAAAACCCCCTTAGACGTTTGATTTTTTGAAGAAACCGCTCAAGAAAGCATGGGAAGATTTTGATGTGAGCTACTTGCGTACCACAATGAACGCCTTCCCCGATCGTCTCAAAGCCTGCATTGCAGCGAATAGAGATATTTTTGAGGTCTAATATGTTTTGTTATTGTTAATATTGTAATAAATGTTATTCTTTTCAAAATTTACTGTTTTAGAATTTTTCTTTTGGCTTTTCACCATACTTGGACGTAACTATGGCCCACCATGTACTAAAATATCCAAATATTCTCTCACCATCGAGTAAAAACAATAAAAGGAGAACTCGATCAACATAGTACAGTTGGCACACGTTTCAAAGCAAAATGACTGGCGCGGACTTTTGACTAGAATTAAAAAAAGTAATAACTATTTCTCTCTTTGAACCCTTCAAACTAAACTAAGGTCACCTGAAATCGAATACAGATCAGAGGCATGAAAAGCGAAAGTTGCTTGAGTGTCTACGTCCAAACGACGTTCAAACAAACAAGCCGCAAATCGTCGAACGATTGCCATATATCCGGATTTAAGTTGAGTATCAACTTCAGGCGTCCAAGACATCTAAACAACAAATCGATTGTTCAGCAGTCAAATTCTGTTTGATTAATTATCTCTATTTCAATAGAAACCTTCTCATTACAACTTGAATCAAGATATTTACTAACTTGCAGGGTTTTGACTGATTTTTGATTGATCACTTTTTCGGGCATCGTTGTAAAGCTGAAAATAAGTAAACATACGGTTTTCTTATTGTCAAATAGTAGTGATTCGACAAACGTTTGGTTAAAAGTTTGATCCATCGTCTCATAGAAAAGTAAATTTGCAGCTCCCCTTTCGAACTTTGTAAACTCGACGCTCAAATCATGAGAGCCCTAGAATTTAAACATTTCTTATTAGATTGGCAATTGGAAAGTTGATACACTTTCGTATTTTCCATAAAACATATTTAATACGCCAATTGAATAAAATCTCTAAATAAAAGTTGTATATGATGGGAGTGGGGCAAATGCGACCTTTTTTTTGCGCACCCGGACATTTGCGCACCTTTTTTTCCGCACCTTGCCCATTAGCGCACCTTTTTTCGCGTTTTAAAAAAGCTCTAAAAAGCTAATCTTAACCAATTTCTATTCCAAATCTTGTTTTTCTAGGTAATTTGAGGGTGTCGAATTCAAATTTTGACATAACAGATGGAACCAATTTGAAAGACAAAACGGCTAGATCAAATTACAGAAAATTGTCGATTTTTCTCTTTGTATAACTCCGTCCATTTGTTTCCACAAGCTCTGATATGTCAAAATTTCGATTCTACGCCCTAAAATTACCTAGAAAAACAACTTTTGGAATAGAAATTAGTTAATATTAGCTTTTTAGAGCTTTTTTAAAACGCGAAAAAAGGTGCGCTAATGGGCAAAGTGCGCAAATGTCCGGGTGCGCAAAAAAAAGGTCGTATTTGTCCCACTCCCGTATATGATCTAATTTAAGACATGCTTAAGCAAATTTCGGTAACTTTTGAAACGAATTTGAACAGAAATTCAAGTTCTTCTGGGAATTCTTTAAATGAAACTATAACAAAAACGATTGGTTTGATTTAGCTGAAAATTTCGTTATTTACCTAACTTGTTATGCTCTTTTTTCTTTATTGACACTAAAATAGGTTTATGTGGAAGAAAGTGCTCAAATCGCTTCATCAAGTGTACATCATTTTTGGTTCCTCAACTTCTTCCTCCAACAATTTGGTGTATTTCGTGGAAAAGTGACATTTTTTAGCTTGTCTGTTCAATTTAGTAAAGATTTGATGGTGGAATCAAAAAAAGCATGATTTTACCATCTACAAGTTGAAAAAATTTGGTGGCAAAATGTGCTAAAAGTTTATTCAAAAATACCACGACGACTTATGGCGTGACCTTCTAGTATAGATTAATTTATTTGCCATATGCTTTGTTTTTGTTTGATAGGCTTTTGTAAACTCGACACAGACTTGAGGATCAACGGCTTCAAGATTGAACAATTCTATCCGATCGTATCTATCGAATATCCACGGATAGAAAGGCTGAGATAAGGTGACCATATCGTCCACGGGAAATGCTATAATTCGTTTGTTTGGTACTTTTCAATTGCACCCCCACAAAATTTTGGATTTTAAGAAATTTCTTTACGGTCTAACACGAACAAAGCGGTCATTGTGCATGGATTTGCTCCAAAAACCCAATTGTAGAAGGTTTCTTTCCCTTTCGGTTTTAACCATAAATTTAGCCAGATAACTCGAAAGGTGGTGCCGCCATCTTTCTTCTTTCTCATCTAACAAATCCCCACGATTGTTTGAGTGTTTATCGATGGATTTTCTGGGTTAAGAAAGTTGTATTTATGATTCACAGTCACGTGTGTGTATCCGGCTTCCTTCAAATCCGTTGTCTTATTTCTGCGCCAACAATCGCTGTAGATGTGGGTTCTGGGCTCCACGTGTTCAACTTCTTGTTCACGTGTCTACTGCTTGGAAATGCGCTTCGAATTTTGTACCAAGTGTTAGTTATCCCAACTAGTACTTTTAAGTTTACGTACTTCATTATAGGATCAGAGGATGATAAAAACAAACTTATGTTATCTGATGATTGCTGGCAACCTTCAAGAGCGTAGACGAGACAAAAAGCGCATCTTTGATCGGTAAACAGGGTACTGGCTGACGACGAGGAGGTGAGCCGCATTTCCTCAGACCTACAAAACAATAAGAGTCTGCATTTCGAGTGTTTGATTGGTTCAATGATGCTGATTTTTTAGAAAAAAAAGCGCCTAACTCAGAGCCTGTATCCACTGACCTGCCTTCAACAATCAAATGATCGGGATTTCGTTTCAGACCCGGCTCCCCGCCAGCATACCCTTTGAAAATCGTTCTCGCATCACAATTTAGGGATTCCTGCAAGAAGAGATAAGTACTAAGAGTTTGTATCATTGGTTTTTGTGAAATATCAAGTTCTTCTTTTAAAATATTAAGCGATTGTAATTCTGGAAAGAACTACGCTGATTTTGGAGCAATCATTTGGAGACAGAGCGGAAATTTGGTTGATTGGCTTCAAAATTGGACACGGCATTGGAAAGCTAAATTGTGCTTGGAGCAAGTAAATAAAATTTTTAAAAATACTACGTAGTTTTCCAATCTTTTGTGACACTGGAGACAACGGTGACAACGACGTCTGCCTCAACAAGAACATAGTGAAATTGTTGATATGGGGTAAGAGTGTCACTTTTCGTTTCCGGAATGAGAAGCACTTTCTTCGATTCTATAACTACTACATCTTAGGTCACCGTCTTCGAAACTAGAGTTTTTTTGAAAATTAGAAGCAATAAGCTTATTTAAATTGTTCTGCTTTTTTATTTAATCAAATTCTAAAGTGTCGTAAAAACTACTCACCGTTTATCCAATTTCTTGCTCTAAACGAGACAGCATATTTGTTTTGATTATCTTTGGGTTGAGCAAGCTCGAATTCCCTTTGTTGTTTTATTACAAATTTTTGAGTCCAGTAAGTGCCGTTGACTTTAGGGTCCGTATTGGAAGTCCATGATCTTAAAATTCATCAAGGTTTCATTCTTGGTCTGTGAAAGCGTTGAATATTCATATATTAAAACTACCATACCATAAAACGCAAGCAGAAGCTTAACATGAATGTTCTTCTTGTAAAGGTATAAGTTTTGCAACCAGTATGTTGCAATTTTACAAAATTACGCCTTGCGTTATAAAGTTAGATGGTAGAAAAGCAACTAAAAATGTACCAAAAAATTTAGAAAATGTACTAACAATAAAAATTCTAACGAAAAAGCTGTTACAAACAGTTAAAAATGTTCAAGAAATTCGGGTGGACACTGTGCTGTTACGGGGGACAATGTCGTGGCGGGAAAATGTCCGCATATTGCTATTGTTAAAAAAAAAGCGCACATTGCTTATCTGGGATCAACACACAGAACATAAAAGTGAGTCTACAAAGGAATGTCTCGAAAGGCTAAAATTAGATTGCATCTACGTGTCTGGAGGGATGACCAAATTCGCACAGCCTGCTGATGTTTGTTGGAACGCTCCTTTTAAAGCATGCATCAGGCAACAATACGAAGACTGGATTTGACTTTCGGCTTCAGACTTGACGAGATCGCGCAAAAATGGGACGGGCGGTGGAAATCCTAAACCGACTTTTTCTGGAGACGGACTTGACATAAATTGCCAAAGCATTGGAACATTTTTCGAAATGATCCAGAAGTCTTTCAAAGCATGTGAAATTGGAGTTTCAGCAAACGGCGAAAAGAAGACGATTTGGTTCAATGTTTTAAGGCGCAATTCCTACTGGAAAAACAGCTATAGCAGCTAAAAAAATGCTCGAACGAAGAAAGAAATCGATGATGTTCGGGGACCACTCCCATCAACACGATTCCTGGAATTCGGCGAACTTGATAAACAAGAAGTAGAAATTGCTGAGGTTATTGATTCAGACGCATCGTTTTGTTTTGGCGATTGTTCTGTTTTTCTGTTTAAATCATTGTTGTTTTGTTAATTGTTAAAGATGAATAAATGAAATTCAAAAGTCAAAAAATGTCAATGAATTATCTAAATGATTTCCAGATTGGGTTGTCTAAAAAATTGATTTAGGAGGAAAATTAGAAGCGCCCACTCAAATAGAAGTGCACCTCAGACGAAGAGGGAAAAGTTAGAAGCACATGCGCTTCCATTAGAGTATTTACGGTAGTTATGTATAGATCTGGCTTATTTACCGTAAGTATTCATGTAGAAGCACATTCTAGATGAAGCATGGGGTTTTTTTTTTTTTTTTGGTTGAGGGAGAGGGGGGGGGGAAAACCAAAACAAAAATCTTTTTTTTTTTTTTTTTTTTTTTTTTTATTCCTTTTTTTTTTTTGGGCCGCCCTTTTGGTTTTAAAAAAAAAAAAAATTAAATTTTGGTTTTCGATTGCCCAAGCCTAAGCCTAAGCCTAAGCCTAAGCCTAAGCCTAAGCCTAAGCCCTAAGCCTAAGCCTAAGCCTAAGCCTAAGCCCTAAGCCTAAGCCTAAGCCTAAGCCTAAGCCTAAGCCTAAGCCTAAGCCTAAGCCTAAGCCTAAGCCTAAGCCTAAGCCTAAGCCTAAGCCCAAGTTTATTACGAAATTTGATCCCGTTCAAAGGCATTAATGCTGTTATTGGTCTTAATCCTAAAGTAGCCAAAGTAGTGCTCAGGCCCGTAGCCAGGGGGTGGGGCATAACGTATCATTTTGAAAAAGTTTGAAAAAAGAAAAAGTTGGAAAAAGTTATTTAGAGCAAAGCATAGATTAATTGGTGAATTTGTCATTTTTCAATGAAAATATGAAGAGAAACAAAAAGATTTTCGGGACAGCCTAATAATTCATGTAAGCTACTCACCTCAGGAATCTCACCATCGGGAAGAGAGCGGGCCTTGTCGGCGGCAATTCGTGGCTTCACCTTCTCCAAGTGGGTCACCGGTCCCGAGTGGGCTGGAAATAGCTTGCTTTGATAACGGCTACATACTTTATTAGCAAAATGTCTTTTTTTTCATGTTTAGAGCAACCTTGAGTTTCTGCAGAGTAGGCCCCTTCATCATGATTGTCCTCCTCCTGGTCCGTATTCGATTCGTCATGAACAGATGCCGCGACCTCGCTTGGAACAACCTAAAGTTGAATTGCTTTCGTTGTAATAATAAATAAGCTATCTCAAATTGGTCTTCACTTGTCAGTTCACAAACTCAAAGATCTGGGTTTGTTCCTTATGGATCCGCCAAACTCACCGCAGGTTCAGCCTTGCTCGCCTCGGCCTCGGGCATCACATGACCAATCGATCCATCAAAGAACTTCGTCTCCACCTTGTTGATGAAATCACGGATCTTTTCTAAACTTTAGAAACTTTCACTTTGTATATCATGTTTTCTTTGCTTCAGCCCGATCTGACAAGCTTAATGCTGGTCTATCAATCGATTTTGAGCCGAATCCTTGTTTGAAAAGTCAACTCTATCTGTTACAGAAGCATTCTATCCCCTTCATCTCTCACCCTCAATGTCGTGACGATAAGCGACGAGTTCGGTGCTGTAGCGCTGCTTATCCATTACGTGGATCGATTTCGGCATGATCGTGCCTGAAAATTTTAATAGTATAGCAAAAACAAACTAATAATCTAAACCTATCAATCAGGTCCTTTTGGCTTAATATTTCTTGTTGAAAGTCGCTTATTGGTATGAAGTCACTCATATGGGCACTTTCCACAAACGGCCTCGTGATCGAAGCAGTTGCGATTCTCACAGGAAAGCACCTTCTCGTTGTAGCTGACTGAAATCAAAAGTGTAAATTGGTGAATGGCCTTAAGCGACTCTTTTGTTAAATAGTTAGTTCTAAAACTTACAGAGCAGTTTAAGAAGCAAAAAGCTCGCTCGAAAAGAGAGATTGCCAAAATAAATTCGAAGATTAGAGAATCTAAATTGAAAAGTAGGTAAAGGGAAAAGGTTTTGAAACTGAAAAGAGAAGAGAAATAAATTCTCCTTTGAGCGAACTTTCCTTTTATATCGCTATTGATTGATGCGTTTCGTTGGTACTTTGTGGGTTGGGTGGCACTTTGGTACTTTGGTGGTTGGGAGGGGCCACTTTTATCCTGGCTTAGTTGGATCTAATGTTTTGAGTGTTTGTATTGCTACCTTTTATCTATTCCAAGGTAATCAAATATGCTTAATAGATTGGTGACTATTTTGTTTTTGGAAATTCCAGCCTAATCCCATGTACTTTAACCAATAAACGCTACCTCAAAGCTGCTTACCCCTGGAAATAAAATAAAAGCGGCAATATGAAACTTTAACATGTTGCCAATGCACTAAATGTAGAAGCATATTTGATTACCCTAGAATAGGTAGATAAAAGGTGTTAATACAACCACTCAAAACAACAAATAGATCCAACTAGGCGTGATAAAAGTGGCCCCTCCCAACCACTAAAGTGCCACCCAACCCACAAAGTACCAACTTTCTTCGTTAATAATCAGCTTAATAACAAAACCGTTACCTCAAATTCAGCCAACTCGTTCAGTTCAACATTCCCGGGCGGTGCCGCCAGCAGAAGAGGAGAAAAATGGCGAAATGCCTGGTCGCGAAGAGCCGCATCGTTTCCCCCGATCCAATTCAAGCACCAATTGAGCTCTAAATTGATGTGTAAAAGGTTGTAAATCAAAAGATAGGCAAGAAAGAGATCAAAAACTCATAAAAAACAAACAAGAACTCATATAAAAACAAAAAGGAAGTACGGTGGAAAGGGCATAATGAAGAGTGCTGATCATCTAGAGCTGTAGATAAGGCCAGAATACAAAAAAGCAACGCAAATTGGTTAAAATCGCACAATCTTACGCCATTGCTCTGTTTTTGAAAAAGAAAACGTTAAATTCTTTTCTTTTGCTTTTTTGCATTATATGCGTTTTAAGCAGTTTCTAAAGATATTCAGCCAATAAGGTGAATATCTTTTTGTTGAAAGCAGAAATATTCGATGACCTTTTGATTTTTTTAAATATTTTCTAAAAAAGTTTAAATGTTCAGCTAATAATCTAAATATTCTTGCGAATTTGGTTATTTAATGCAAAAACAAAAGCAAAACCAAAAATTCATTGTTGCTTCCACTTCTCCGGCGTTTCGTTTGCTTTTTGGATGTTAAAGCAAGATATTTAGTTGAACTTGTGATTGATGGGATGGATGGGGCTAAATTAGATTTAGATTCGATTTGACACTGTCAAAATGCTATGTGACATCCAGATCGAAGACTGGATGCTGTCCATTCTCGAAGTCGATCAATTTTTCGAGCTTTCCCTAGAATGTGAATGTTTTTGCAAAATTGCTCTACTTACTTGCTGCTGAGATGGCTCCGGTGTCATCGCTGCGATTTCAGCACAACCACTTGAAAGCCTAAATGAATAGGAGTTTAAAGGACGAGCTAAAATAGAACAATTTGCTCGCGTAAGCAAGATTTTCGAAAATAAGCAACTGAAGTCACCAAAACGTTGCCATGCCCACCTTTTTGAACGAATCTTTTGATAAAATTTGTTTCGTTCAATCCGCTTTTCTTTGGGCTAATTTGGCGCAAAGTAGCCACCCGACTTTATTCTTTTCACCAGCGCGATCCCGACTGTGCTATCAGCCCCAAAATATTCAGCTAGACTTTTTTTCGCCGTGGCGCAGTCGGGAGCGCACTTATCCACGATCCACACTACCCGGGTTCGATTCTCGGGTGATTCACCCAACTTTGCTTTTTTTAAATGGCACAACTACAATATATTCTCTAAGATTTCCTAAAGAAGTTTTAGCTTTATTGGTCAAAACACGGCCAAGAAGATGCTCGTATAGACAAACACTGCTCTTTTACATATAACTGGCCTTTAACTTTTTTCAAAATTATTGCTGTTGCTTGCCTAGAAACACCCGTGGAAAGCGCCTACTGTGGCACGGAGGTCGGATACATTGAGTTTGTCACAAACTCTCGTTAAGTTTTCTTGAAAGAACCAAAACTGAAATGTGATTTTAATATTTTTAAGGGCCCGTTGATTTGAAAACTGTTAAATAATGAAGACTTTCTAATCGTTAAAAGAACAACAACAACAACACCTTTGATGAAATTTGGTGATCGGGTTCCGATGAATCGATTTTTGGAATATCAAATTTAGTAAACTGTAAAAATAATCTAGAAGTCGAGTTTTTTTTCATTTTGGTTAAAAAATTTATCATTCAGCATCAATCAAAAACTCAGTTCGTTTTCTTTTCAAATTTGAGTATCGTTGGCTTCTTCTTGCAAATGAACCGATAATATAGGGTGATCAAAAAGTTCGTGCACACTTTACAAAAGAAGCTCCATTTTTCAGCTAAAAACTAAATCGAAAATCGACTTACTATATAGTATTTTGAAGCTGAAATTCTGGGCAGCATTTCTACACCTAAACCATCCTGATCAGGGTCACCTAGCTCTTCAAAGAAGCATTACAGTGCGCTGGAGCAAATACACTACTGGACAATGAGATATCATATTTGAAAAACGATCGTCACTTTCGCGCGTCTGTAACTCCTTTATCTTTACCGTATTTCTAAATATTAATATTACCATTGTGTAGCCCTTGAAAAGAGCTTTCAGAAAATGTATAACACTAATAGTTTAAACTCAAAGACAAGGGAGTTACAGTTACGCGCGAAAGTGACGATCGTTTTTCAAATATGATATCACATTGTCCAGTGCTGTATACCGTCATAGCGCTCACCTATTTGAACCTGTTTTTCATTGAAAAATCCTTCAAAAAGCCTTTTTAAATTGACACTTTTGTTTTAAGTAACAGTTCAATTGTTATTTTAAAAGAATAAAATCTCTCATCAAGATAGAAACGTAAAATAGTCTTCAAAAACATGCGAAACTGTGTTCGTCTCATGAGCGGTTTGCCTCAAATGCAGTGCAAGATTTCTTGCAAAGGCTGAACATTTCTGATCAAAATGATTTACTTATAGAAATGTTCATCAGAATTTCAGCTTTAAAATACTATAAAACACGGCAATTTTGTTTTAGCTTTCATTTAGAAAATTAATAATTTACAAGTATGCGGGAAGTTTTTGATCACTCTGTATAACTGTAAGATAATGTGATGGTTTGTGCATTTATCAAAACTATGTAAGGATAAAGTATGTTTAGACTATTTTCAAACTGAAATGCCCGCCTTTGTCTTGTCTTGAGTGGTCTCAGCACAAAGTTCGGAATCGACTAGAAACACAGTGCATAACATAGAATCGGCAATGGCGAACAAATATTTTCAGTAAATTTTCATATATATATGCCATATAAATTTTCTCCCTCCGAAAAACAGGCAGTCCGGAGCTAGACCCGAGTCTTTTCCTCTGCATAAAGATTTAGTTGTGTGCAAATCGGTTAGAAATTTCTTCTCTAATAGTGTCGTTGATCCTTGAAATGCTCTTCCACCTCACATTAAAGATATTTAATATTTAAATTTAAACACTTTTAAGAGAGCATTACATTCTATCAAACTTGTAAACGAAATTGAGTCTTTGCGTTCACCATCCTACTTTTAAATCTGTTTGAAATTTACATTTATTGAAAGTTGTTCCCCTATCAGACCGTGGCTTTAGATTTCTTTTCTGTGCATATCATTTTGTCTTATTGACTACGCTTTATTTCATGTCTTGAATAAAGTATGAATATAAAAAACACAAGCAGCACAAAACACAAAACTCATAAACAAAAAACAATCAAAACACTATTTCCGTGTATCTATGCAAACAAACATCGTGTATTTTAGCGTTTTAGCATTTTCTTAGTTCATTCGAAAGCAAAAAGTTTGTTTTCTTTGGAAACTTCCATAAAGACACGGCTATTCATCGTCGCTTTGTCAGGGAAATTTCCATTTCAAGCTCACCGGGATTAAGGCTGTCATTTGTTCTCGCGCAATCCCCGGGATTACTGGTTTAAAGAGGGAAAAATTTGGAACACAAATCTCAACTTTCAAACATTTTTTTAAAAACCTTTTAATTCTATAACGTTAAGACTTTAATTTGTAAGCGATTAGTTAAATTTTTTCAAAGAAAATTCCAGAAACTTTTGTAAAAATTTGCTCCGGAAATGTCATTTACCCAATTTTTAAACATTTTTCAGCACTGTCTGATCCAAATATAATTTTTTTGTTAAGTCAATAACTTTTTCTGAGAATATTTTTGTCTTGAAAACGGTAATGTGCAATTTCCGGACTTTTTGCCCATAGAAAAGCTCTAGAATGGGCACATTGTGTGGCCAATTAGTCGGTTTCAAAAATGAAAGTTGAGCCTTAAAAACTAATATTCGTAATGAGCATCACTTGAAAGTTGTCTTTCAAGCAAAAATCCATTTCAGTTCATCATTCGTTTCAATGATCAATGGTCAAAGAATTCTTGGTTCTTTTAGCGCTTTTATGGTGTAAATCTCTTAAATTTACCCCGATTTAGAATCTATAAAGTTTTTTGGTTGTGAAATTTATGATTCTTGATTCTTTAACTTGAAAAGCTGGATTTTTGAAGTCTAGTGTTTTCCAAGGCTTCTTTTGCCGCGTCTTTTTCATAAACTTCTTCAGATT